GTGTGTGTGTGTGTGTGTGTGTCATGGCGTGCCTGCAGCATCATCATCACTGTGACTCGTTGTGTCCTCAGGTGAACAGGATCAGACCACCATGGGGTTCCTTCTTTCTAAATCCATGGATGCAAACTTTAAGAAGCAGCAGGAATTCATGCTCCACAATGGACGGCTGCAGGTGAGTGAGGGTCTGAAAACAAGGTGGTTTCCGTGTTTGTATTTACAAACCAGGCTCCTGTGGCTCCTGAGGTGAATCAGGTGGAAGACTGGAGTGAGGGTTCATCCTCCTTTCTTTTAGAACACAGGACAACATTGTCAATGTCCCTTCTTCGTCAGGTTTTACGTTTGTATGTAAAATCAACTTTCAAGATTAAACATACTGCTCATACACAGTGTTCTGTCCTTAGTGTGTAGCATTTACACAAAGGTGAATGTGTATTGTTTTTATTTTGCAGCACAGTCAGATGGTTAACCACCTATTTGATCTCCCTCAGATTTGTAACCGTGTTTGCCCCATGTGTGTTTGAATGGGTTGAAAAGAAGAATGTTTATTTTTATCTCCATATAAATTTTGAATTATTATTATTATATAGTTGATAATTACATCATAAATATGCCTGAAATAATATCTGTTTGATCAAATTACCACTGTAAATGTAGGAAACTGGTAAAACATCAGTGAACCCTATCAGATCTCTTTCATAATCTATCGTCTCTTTCTATCTATTGTTTTCCTTGCATTTATTCTTTCTATCTATTTTTTCTTTCTATCTATTCTTTCTTTCTGTGAATTATAGCAATTCAATTTAGAGGCCGCAGGTTTTATTGCTCTCTTTTTTTGTGTGTTTTTCTTTTCTTTTTTTCCTATTCCCTTTTTTAAAGAACAATCTGCTGTGATTTATTTGCGCCTGCGAGCGGCTGAGCAGCAGGTGGGATGTGAGTGTCATTACACCAATGACATTATCCGACTCACACCCAGGAGGTTTGTTGCGCCGCCTGCCCCTTAATTTTCTGTTGCTCTCGCAGCTGTAAATACGGTAAATGATGACTAATATTATTCAGTAGTGGCAAATGTTTGGCAATTGAGTTTCGGAGTGCCCTCATTCGGATCACGACAATGAATCACCTGTGATTATTGCGTTTGTTTAAGCATTGCTGCAGTGGGTCCACATTGTGCCATCAGGTTAACATAGTACATATACTTTTATATTTATTATTCAAACATATTCATCGTTCATATTCGAGTCATTTTAGCACAAATGAATGAGATATTTCTATATAACTGTTGGTCTGCTTAAAAATATATTGGTAACTTGTAATTGAATTCATGCTTTTAACCTCTCAGACCTCGGTTGAACAAAATATACATGGAAACGTCAGCTATTGTGTTACTGCCTGTACTAGAGAATTATTATTCTGCCTTATTCCACATTAAACATTTAAATTGTATTTTGACATCAGCAAACTTAATGAGTAAGATGGACCCCAGCAATTTCAGAATATCTATGAAGCATCACTGTTCCCTCCCCCTGCATTAAGATGTCAAAGATAATTGCTTCCCAGTATTACCAAGTCACATCAGTCAGCGCTAATTGATTCTTGCCACGCTGTGGTCTTGTGGATGCTCAAGTCAAAGTCATTGGGCATTGTGTTTGAATCACAGGTCCATCTTAAACATTACTTGAAAACTTGACGTAGACGTATGTCTTGAGCATAAATGGCAGCTCTGGAATGACGTCGATGATGTTTTTGTTCACTTTACATTTGAAAACAGGTCTTGATTGATGATAATAGGGTTATGCTTTTTATTCACGTTCACTAAACTCAAGTGGGTTTGAGTGTAAATCGGGAGAGCAGACCTTCCCACAAGATTTCTAAATTTGTTTTCATTGACTTTCTTCACCTAATGTTCACATCAAATCATAAAATAAATAAAAGCTTTGCTCCTTTAGCCATTTTGAAAACTAGCTAATCCAGAAAAAGTGAATAAAATGAATGAAGTGAGTAGGATAATACAATACACCAAGGTGTTCAGTGAATTTGAACCTTCTAAGACGCTGGATCACTTCAAGTCAATATTGGAGCCTTTTAGGCGAGTGATAATCAAAAAGTCAATACTTATTCTAGCATTAACACGTAGCATGTAGTAGAAAGGATACTTCAATACTTTACTTTACTTTCATCTGAGACCAAGAATGGTGCCCTGAGGCCCCCCCACAATTAATCAGCTGTACATAATAACTCAGGCTTTTTGCTGCCTCAACTTAAAAACGATGTACATCAACTATTGTTTGTTCAAAAGATTTATATTTGATGCAAAAACATCTTTAAGGTGGGAAAAAATATTCAGGTTTTTAAGACTCTCCCTCTCTTTCTTCAAAATCTGTTGGTCATCCCTTATTTATTTAGTTATTTTATCGGGAGACATTATGTTGTGCGCTTTGAAAGTACTCATAGGTAAAGATAACACATTTATGCCATGTCATGTTGGTAAAATATTCAATTTATCATGCAATTATTATCATGCATTTTAACTTATATGAAGTGACTCAAATGAATAAAATAATATCAGTGACAGGAATTGGGTATTTTCCAGATAGTATCTCGAGTCCACTTCCTTTTTTCCCCGATGACGGGGAGTGACCTCACGTGGGGTAAAATCTCAATGTAACCTGTTATTACACATTTCCCACTCCTGAGGACCTTAATGGCTCTGGGAATGGAAAGGTAATTTCCCCTTGCTGTCATTGAAACAGGGTCTAATGGAAAGATAATTAAATTCTCGACTCACGAACAACACCTGCTGTATTTGGTTTGTATTTCAGCTTTGTCTAATTGTAATGAGGCGTCCTTCGGTTCTCTATTTTTCACTTAATTTCGCTCAGCGGTCACCACAGTGTGAGAACAAATGCTGTTGATTACAGAAGCTGTTCTATCATTTCCAGTTTGTTGAAACACTATTTCACTCAGTCTGTCTCGAGAATGTGAAACTGACCGTGCCGCTGCTTCCTCCCTCCCAGGAGAGGTTGGTTGTAGAAAGCTGGGTAACAGCTGTAGATTCCAGAGTGTAGCAAGTTTCATGATGAGACAAAGTTTCAGTGAGTTTGAAAATGTTTTATGTGTTCATCTGTTGCTGGAAATGTTTGTTTTTCCTGTTTTCATGTTAAATGTAATTAAAAGTTGTGAGGCAGAGTTTTTGTAATGGTAGATTCACGCCAGAATGTACTGGGTGCTCTCGCTCATACCTCACTAAGGCCCAACACTCTCTTAATATGCCTGATTTTCTTTATCAAGATCAATGCAGTATTCAATAGGAAATTAGTGAAAACTTTTACACTTAAATGTTCTATAGAAATAATTAATTCATCAAGTGGTCAATACAGCTCTGCTGTGTTTTATCACTTGTCCATTAAATGTTACCTGGTAGGTGCAATGTGTGCAAATTGATGGAGGGAACGCTGCTGATGATAAACTGAGGAGAGCTGCATTTTTTTATTTGTGCTTTATTGACCTGGCTCAAAATTATTATTCAACATTTGGCATTTAGGACAAACAAGTCTGTGATGTACTCTGAGATGTACCTGACCTCCTGGCTAGCTGCAGCCTTAAAAATATTTCAAGAGAGTTCATTTAAATAAAACCACTAAAGCATGTTCCTTCATTTGTTTTAGATTTTTTCTTCATTTTGTACAGAGCAGAGTTCTGTGTTGTGTAGAGAGATATGATGAGAACGAGTGGGTTTACAGTGAATAAACACAAACACACGCACATGCAACAAGTGCTCCACCCAATCGTGACTCAATCCACCTACAGAGCACACATGCAGACGTTTGTCCACATATTCACAAATGAACTGTATCTATAAAGTACCTGCCTCAGATATACAGTATGTTTTTGGTTTAAGTAAAGAGACTGTTGATTGTACTCTCCATAATCAGGCTAACAGCATGTTTAAAATCCACAATATATCAAAGGCCTTCATGACTGTATTTTTACCTGACTGTGACGTTCATGTCTGATTGAAGTTGAACCCTCCTGAGCCTTTCTCTTAATTTCTCCTCATCTGTAAATGACTTTTATCAGAAGCCAAGCACTTTAATTAGCCAGTCACCCACCGTGATGGTCATTAGTGGCTCACAGCAGGAGAACAAACGATGGCCTGTATTTACCTCTGAAGGTATTTGATTCATGCTCTTACATTTTCTGTTTTAAATTAGCCCACTGATGTTCGGGATAAGTGGTAAATGCAGAATGGAAAAAAAAGTGTTTTTCGCACAATTAGACAAAACACGACTAAAAGAAATGTAAGTGTCCATGTTTTAACACACAGGATTTTTGATTGAACCTTTACCCATATTGAGTGACTCACACTATATTTTTAAACAGTTATAAATAATACAAATAATAATTCTAACACCTCATCTTTTTAATATCGGTGATAAAGACTGAAGTTTGTATAAAGAACCCACTCTGACCAATCTTAACTGCATTTTAACATTAACATTTAAGCTGAATGGAATTTTCCGTCAACTAGAAGCTGCTGATTCGTTGGAAACCACTTCTCATGTTGCTGTGAAGTGCTGATGGAGTGTCAGCTGATCCTACTGACCTGATTCATCCTTCTTAACCAGTTAAACAGGTTTAGAGCTGGGAGTTGATCCGTATGAAGTCATCTCCCTCATAAAACATGCTGTTGCTGTTAAACTGTAAAAGCTTGATCAGCTTCATCCGTGGTTCAGATTCTTCTCCTTGTGTCTTTTGAATGATGCACCAAAAGGGAACAGGGCTAGAAACCTGTAACGACCACCAATGTGTATCTGAGGTAATGTCATGATACAGCCAGGAATTTAATTTATCCATTTCCACAATTTTTTCATTTGAACTGTTTATCGCTCTATTTCCCTTACTATAGAAAATAGACATTTAAGAGTCAAGTCTCTATTAGTCTGTTCAACAGGCTCCGTCTTTGTGATTTCATTCACTTTAACCTCGGTGCCAAGTAACTTAGAAAGAGGTGATGGTGAATATGGGCAGAGAGTCAAATCGAAATGCTGTTTGTCCGACATGTTGTAATTTATGTCTGACACTGGTCTTAGTCTTAGTGTCATTTTTCTCTTATGTGGAAAAAAGACTTCTCTTTGACACATTCACTTTTAGAGAATACAACTTTTTAATTGAGAATGTCACTCAGTCCACTCAATATGTGTAGGAAGCATGTGTTTGTGTGCATGTGCACATACACATGAGTGTGCTCAACAGGAAACTGCAAGACATGTGAGTCACTCATCTTTCTACAGAAAGACATAATTTGATAAACACGTTCTGGAAATTACCTCCACCACAGTGGTCATGTTTTTATTGGTGCGTGTCTGTCAACAGGATTACTAAACTGATTTCTATCATATTTTGTGTCGGCATGATCCAGTCTGGGCCTGATCTGGATGAACAGGCAGATACAGGAACTAAATGTTCTCTGTCCTAAACATGGCCAGACAAGGCATTAGACTTAGTGGAGGTATGAACTCTCCAAGAGCGCTTCTAGTTTAAGAATCGGGACTGTGATGTGTACAGAGTGGAACATGTGACTTAAATTGCAATACTTGGAATAATCTCTGTTTGACAAACATTGTTGATGTCTTCCATTTCCTTTCTGTTTTCCTGTGCGTGTGTTCAGATGGAGCGTCAGATCCTGATGCAGAACCAGATGAGGGAGAGACAGATGGCGATGCAGATCGCTTGGTCCAGAGAGTTCCTTAAATACTTTGGTACTTTCTTCACAGTGGCCACAGTGGGACTCACTGTAGGGTGAGTTTTGTAACTTGTCACCTCAGAGATTTTAGTTTAAGGATGATTCACTGTTTTCTAACACACAACAGTAATGATCCACAGTGAGGGAACAACCTGTAAAGAGTGATCCTCACTGAGAGGGTTGAAATAATCCCACTTTGTGGACCAGTGGTGCAGCTCTGTTTGTTTTATAAGTGTCAGACACAGTGGTCTCATCCATATGCGGCAATCAATTCGGTCGTCATGGGTCTGACTCACCCGCTTTGCTTCTCTACAGTGCCGTTAAAAGAAAGAGGCCGGGGCTGTTGGCCCCCATCGTTCCTCTCAGCTTCATAATGGTGTACCAGATGGACAGCGCCTATGGGACGTTAATTTATCGTATGAGAGGTGAGGACACGGTCACTGTCATTGTTATCATCACACCAAAAAACAAAGGTTTAATATCACCACAGAAAAAATCAGCCTCATCCGGTTCATTCAGTTAAAGTTAAATCACAGTATGATTTTGTGTCGGGTTCAGTCATTAGTAAATTTAGTTTTTAAACATCTACGATTTTACATAATCTCCCCACATGCTCTTGTCATTTTAAGTCGTCTTCACTGACCAGCTGTTTATTTTTCTTATTTTCTTTTCAATGTTGTCTTATTTACTTGTACCAACAAAATTTATATATATATATATATATATATATATATATATATAGAAAAACAATAAATAAATTAAATGAATGTATAAAATCTACATCTGTTGTGAGAGACACAAACCCAATAACTATAATTAATAAGTTTTCTTTGCTTTAATCGTTCGTCTGGATATTTGAGATTAAACAATAAAAAGGCATGCAGGTGAAGAACGATTGGTTTCACATCATAACGTCCTGTATCTGTTCTTCTACCTTCAGGGGAGGCGGAGAGCATCATGGCGTCTGAACACGACCGTCTGGACTTGCCTCATGGAACTCCGACTTTCGAAAGCATAGAGAAGGCCCGTCGCGCTAAAAGCAGCCTCACGTCCCTCTTGGAGAAATGATGTGTTGGTTGTTTGAGAGAAAATCAGAATCGTCCTGTCCGAGCATTCACCCGAGCTGCTTTTGCATAGGTATGAAAAAACTATTCAATAGTAGCTGCCTTTTTTTTTAAGTCATCAAGTCCATGTTTTTACACTAAAACTTCGTCAACGTTCTCACGTCAAATGATTATTATATTCTAACAATGAATATAAAAGTGTGATCATTTATTTATTTTCGGCTTCGGTTTCTTCAAACATCTATTTTCATGTTACTCAGAGTACATGAAGTGTTTTCCTTCTAAAGCTGCATGAAGTCATTTCTGACCACTAGAGGGCAGAAAGTCTCCAAGATTCAAACTCGGTCAAGAAACTGTTCCACTCAGTTGTGAAAATGTTAATATAAAAAAATTATTTAATGTCGCAGGACAGATTTTTATTACTTCAAATGATATTGAAAAAATTTTCATAATGAGACAAGTCAAGATTGAGTGCTAAAGACTTTATATGAAAGCTTTATTTAACCCTGGTGCTCCTGTGTCCTCATTAAATGGATGTAAAGTATAACAAGGTGCTGATATTCATGCATTATGTTGTAAAAATAGAAAAAATATTTCTAAAAACAAATGAATAAAAAAAAATTGCAAAGAATATGTTACGGCAAGGTTCTTCTTTGATGCAACATGCAGAGCCACTTCATTCGCGTTAGAATCACCGTGTGATAGAAACCTAAACTGTGAATATGGTGACATGAACAAGAAGCCGCAGATTAATACAAATATTCCACTAATATTACTACAACCAAGAAATAACTTTAAGTACGTCATTGTCATCAATCTGAATGACGCGTGTGTTTGAGTGTGGGGAGGCAGGGGGAGGGGATTGGGGGTTGAAGCACAGGTTGATGAATGAACTACCGCCTTAGACTATAAAAGCCTGCGTCCACTGACCAAGAGAGAAGAAGAAGAGGAACCAAAGTCGGCTCTACTCCACGACACAAACAAACAGAAGCAGGAGATCTGAGCAGATCTGTGCTCCTCCGACCCAGACCGACTCCGCTCGTCCACTCACTTTCAGGAAAAAGTGAAAAATGCTGTGGAGATTGACTCTTGCCGTGGCCGTGGTGTGTGTCGTTGGCATGTGCAGCTGTGTGAAGGCTGATGTCATGAGCAGACTGATCGTACCGAGGGACTACGGGGTGAAACTGTGCGGGAGAGAGTTCATCAGAGCCGTCATTTACACCTGCGGAGGCTCCCGCTGGAAACGAGCCGCAGGGGGGGACTCAGGTGGGTTTGAATTTCCTACGAACCCATTATTATTATTATCTGCTCGCTGACTGGAAAAATGAAAAGATATCCAGAAGAGTTACTGTAAAGTCTACTTTTAAACGTGTCGGAACATGAAACATTCCGATGAAGCTCAGTGAGGCCAATGAGAAGAAGAAATTGTATAATTGATTCCAGATAATAACATTAGGGTTTCAGAATCAAAATCAAGATTTGAAGCATCTGTGGTCAAAACAGTTTAAAGAATTAAAACATTACATGGTCAGAAGTTGAGGATGCCACAGGGTTTTCACCAGGCTGATTTGCAGAGCTTCATATTTCAGCACCACAGCTGATGTTATAAATTGTTAATAATAACATGAACCTCTTATTACATCATTCCTCCAGAAATCACCTTCATCCCCACATTTCTATTTACCTTTGACATGTGATGAACAATCAACTCTAAATTCAACGTCCTGTTTGTGCTTTGTCCTCCAGAATCTTTCCAGTGGAGTTCTCTCAGCGACGACACAGCGGGTGACAGCCTGCACAGCTGGCTAAGTGGCGCCGAGCTCACAGAAAACCGCTCTCCTCCCCAGATCGTCTCCTCCCACTCCCTGGCGGACCTCCTGGCTCTGTACGTGGCCACAGGAGAGCGACAGCAGCAGCAGCCACTGGAGAGATCCCTGCCATCCACATTTTTAGGTGAGCAAGATGGGATTCCAGGGGCGGACGACTGGAGAATGGTGAGCAAGAAGAAGAGGAACTTTTCTGCGGGTGTGGCGGGGATGTGCTGTAGTCAGGGCTGCACCAAGAATGATATCGGAAGATTGTGCTGAGGAGGGAGGGAGGGGTGACATGAAGATGGTGTGACGGACAGTGACAGACAGATTGTGGAAACATGGAGGAGAGCAAGTGCACATGTATTTATTCTCAGTCATGTCTTATTGCAAAAATCCCTCTGTCGTCATATTTGATTTATTCTCCATATTTTGTCCCAGAGATCCTGTTCTGTGAACGTTCAGCATTATTTACAATAAAATTGAAATACCATAGGAAATATTGAGCAGTATTGTATATTGTGTGTGACACTTCTTTATGTGTGTAGAAAGGATTTGGAGCCTCAGTCGTCTCCCCTGCAAACTGTCGATGCTGAAACAGGCAAATATCACACTTTAATGTCATTTAAGCTGCGGTGAACACATGACCATCCTCACAACGTTACGCCTGCCCGCTCTGTTTCCACACCCTGAGGACACGACTGTGAACGTGGATCTGACTCAACAAAAGCCTCTAAACAAAACCCGCAATATTAAATATAAATAGAGGAAGCTTAATGTGACAAAAAAAACACATTTGGATTTTAAACTGTTTAATTTTAATGTCCATAGTACTGCATTATGTTTTGTTTAGTAAAAGTAGAAACAACATCCACCTCGATATTTACATCTATGTACATGTATTGAAAGGTAGCTGCATCAGATGCAAGTCCATTTATTTCAAAGTCAAATAAAATTGAAATAAATGGAAAGAAAAAATGTCATTTTCATTATATTATGGTGTTGTTCGTATTTCACAATGAACTGATATTTGATGTTACTCAGCCAAAAACATGTCACAACAGAAGCTGTGGGAGTAAAAGAGGATTAATCCAAAGATACAAAACATGATAAATTCAGTCACAGCAAACAGAAAGTCTCATTCACAACACGCTTAACTCAGATATTCAGGTCGGATCTTCAGTGGAAATATGGCCCAGAGGTTCGGGAGCGCACAAACAAACTTTGTGTGTGAAAGTGAGAAAACTTTGCTCTCAACAGTGACTCATTCATGCAAGATGTGACCCATCCTTTCACATTTTGTGTGCATGCTTGTATTTGTATGTCTCGTCTGTTGTGGACGATAATAACCTTGCAAATTCACATCAAGAGTTTCCTCTCACGCATCACACACTTCATTCAATAACATTTGGCCTGTACAGTTTTTAACTTTCACATAAAAATGAAATCATGCAAGCTTATTTTTTACATGTTTTACAACAACAAACACTTCCCTTCATTACTTTCAACACACTTTTCACATCATGTATGTACAGGCTGATATTATAGCATTGTACCATTAAAAACTTCAAACTGTATCTATAAAATATATATTCATATAGTAATCAGTAACAAAAACAATGTCATCATTTCCCTGGGTGTTCAAAAATAACTGATACTGTCCAGGACATTGTCGATACTTTGTTATCAAAGAGCTTCATGAGCAGGTATTGCCGTTTTGACATTATGATGTAAACTAAGAAACTGGCTGTTTCTTCTGCTGCCTCCGCTGTTTATAAAAAGAAACACAGGATCATCCTCAGTGGGTCATGAATATCTGCCAAGTCCAGCATAAAGACAGAAATCTGACTTCAGCTCCACCGGTAGAGATCTTCACAGGGTCCCCTCGTCACAGAAGCGTGATCGTCCTTTATCAGTCTTAAAAAGTGTCAAGCGGGTGACATCACGTGGTTTGGGAGCATTTTTGTTCAACAAACTCTTTAGAGACAGTCTGTGCTCGGCATTGTTTTTGTTAAATAACTGCTCCTAAAAATTCTTTAAAAAATATCAGTCAGGAGTCTAGTTTGAGTTGCCCTCACACATGTAACATTCTGTGGAGAATCCCATGGTCTCTTGGAATAAAACAATAAAACAAGTCGCTGCTCCAAAATAAAAAGACGGAGTTATTCACAAAATGCTGCTTGTGGGTGATTTATACATTTTTGGTTCCGGTTCATTTTCACAACAGCTTAAAAAGCAGAAAATACTTCATCCACAAAAGTGTTTCCTTTCTACAGTCAAAGACCAACACCAAATTATGAAATGAATCATCTCATGATTAAATGTTCTCAAACGTGTCATGAATGATCTGTTGTTTGGCGTCAGGTCTGACGTCTTCATTTAGATGATTGTTAATGAGGCTGAAAGGCAGGTTGAGCTCCATAAGAAAGAAACGTGGCCGGCTCAGTCTTTCCACTGTGCTGCTGCAGTGCACGTCACAGAGGAATCACTGATTCCTGTGAGTCAACACCTGAAGTTCAAAGGTTCAGGGATGACTCCGCTCATCCCTCCTTGCCCTCTCGCACGGACTCCACACTGTGGATTAATGTCTTGAAAGTAGGCCGCAGACTTGGGTCACTGCTCCAGCAGTCGTCCATCATCTTGTGAATCTGAGGGAGACAGAAACACAGAAAAATAAAATCCAACAGGTTGAAGAAACACAGTGCTGTGAAGTGAAAATGTGTCGCTACCATTCTGCCTTTCTTTGACAGCTTTAGAGGAAGAAAGTGATGGAGTGACACATGAAGCAAAACGTTGGTCCAAATCCTCAAATTTGTGGTTTGGGGTAAAATGTCTCCAATTGTTGGATCAAGACTTTTGTGTCCATCTCAGAATTATTCGCTCGACCGTTTTATTCAAACATCACTAAAAACAAAACCTCAGTTTTTCTTGACTCTTGTTGCTCACCTCCTTCGGACAGTTGTCAGGAGCCGGCAGCCTATATCCTTGTTTTAGCAGATCTAACAGATGGTAGACGATCATCTGGCCCTGCTTTTCATTCCCAATTTTGTCCATGAACACCTGCAGCAGAGAAGAAAACAGCTCAGTAAAATGTTCTTTTTAAGCACATCGCTCTAAAACAGAGCAGAGTCCTCAATCAAGTGATTTTTAACTAACTGCACAGCCATTGTTTAACGGCTTTATGAGAAGCAATTCGGGTCAGAAGGGGAAAACGGTTACATGACAGCGAAGTCAAACAAACGTAAAATAATAAAGAGTAAGTGTTGTACTGCTGGTGGGCTGCAGTTCTTGTCACTGCAGGTGAAGAGTTCGTAGAGGACGACTCCGAAACTCCAAACGTCGGATGCCACAGAGAACTTGCTTTCTGTCAGTGACTCTGGAGCATACCTGGAAAACAACACAACGCATGATGTGTACACACTGATGTTAATGAAAAAAACAGGATTGAATATTGCTGTCAACACTTGTCCTACAATCTACAGAGACAGAAATGAAGGAGTGAAATAATCAGTAGGCACATGTGGCCTGGATGAACGAAACCACATCAAAATGTTCTCTCTGTGGGAATCTTCTAATATCTTCTCGAACGTGATCAGTTTTAAAGGCTTGTGATATTTACCACAACTGTAGAAATGCCAGTAAAAGCAGTGTCAAATCTTTATTCTTATAAAAATCAACCAAAAGAACATTGGTGATACTTTTTGATCCACTAACAATTACATGCAGTGTGTCGTCCTCACCAAAAGATGGGGCTTTCTCCAGGCTCTCTGACCGTGTAGTACTCTTTGTCCTGCGGCAGCACCTTGGTCAGACCAAAGTCACCGATCTTCACCCTCATCTCGCTCTCCACCAGGATGTTCCTCGTCGCCAGGTCTCTGTGGATGTAACGATTTGTGGCAAGGTAGTTCATACCCTGCAAGAGATGAGTTCAGGTGTCGTTACTGTGTGTGGGGGGTTCATTATCAGATTTGATTAGATTTGACCCTTCAACTTCTTTTCTTTTTTTTTAAAGCTAGATACAGTGGACCCCAGCAGCAGGAAAGTTGTGTCAAAGAGAGCAAGAGTACGTTTGACATGTCTGCATAAGATTTACCACACTGCACCTACGTTACCTTGCAAATCTGTGACGCGTAGTGCAGCAGTTTCTTGGAGTCAAAGTGGTCCTTGTGTTTGGAGAGATAATCTCTCAAGCTGCCGTAGGGGAGGTATTCCATGACCAGCCGCAGGTTCCTTCGTCCTGCGGAGGGAAATGAGACAAGTGCCACACATATGATGAGCGAGCGAGTGAGCGTGTGAGTGGAGGCTTTTATAAGGAAATCTAGATTGATTTGTTTCACCGACACAATCACTGAAACCTTCAGCAGTGAATGTGGAGACTGAGCAGGAGCAGCTGTGGGCTGAACGAGCTGGTCAGTGAAGGTAGACACTGTGATTGTGTCATACTACTGCGTGACATGTTACTACTATTATTTAGAATCAAGTTATTTCATGTTTATTGTTTATTAGGATCCACTTCAGTTATAATCCGACAACACCTCTTCCTGGTGTCCAAGCTAAAATTGAATGCAATGTTTTCACATGCATGTGTCATAAGTAACGTTAAAATGACAGAAGACAGAGAGCAGGATTTTTCATCTCACCACATTATGAGACGAAACTAGGCATGTGCTCGTACCTGCGCTGTAACAGACGCCTTTATATTTGACGATGTTTTCGTGCTGGAGGGATTTGAGGATCTCAATTTCCCGCTCAAAGTCCCTGATGTGCTCGGCCGTGCTGTGCTGCAGCTTTTTCACTGCCACCACCTCCCCAGTGCTGTCCTGCAGGGGGTCGTACCTGCACATCTCCACACTGCCGAAGTTCCCCTGCAGCGTGGAGTCAACGGGAGAACAGAATTTAGAAAGAAAGAAGTGCTATCATTACTTTTTAATAAGCTTTCAATCCAATTTGATGTGTTCCAACCAAATAAGATGGAATCCATCAGCTGCGTTGTCACAAGTCAAAGAAGTAGTTTTGGCAGAAAACAATACACCTCCTCGACACAGAGGGAAATAAATCTGCTTTGTGTCATAAGTCCAGAAAATATGACAGATACTGCCAGTTGATTATAACTAAACATTTAATTTCAATTAAAAACATTGTCACTATTATAAACACTAAGGAGATGTCAAACATAAAGAAAACTCTTTTACATATAGTATCTTGACGCTAAGTGTCTGTTCAGCGTGCATGTCTCACTTTGCCCAGCTGCTTGAGAAAGATAAGGTGTCTCTCCTCAAACTGTGCGGGCTCCTGGCTCTCTGAGGACCACGGGAGGCCAAAGCCTCTCGTCTTGTTTGGTAACATGTCGCTCTCCACCAACAGCTCGTAGTCTGCAACACAACAGGATGCAAAAAGAAATCCCTGAATCAATATGGGATATGATCTGTAGATCTGCCTGTCAGACTGGACGAGGAAGTGACGACCTGCATAGACATAATTTTTCTTCCTACCTGGTGTGAAGAGGCTGTTCAGGTCTCTGATGATTGCTCTGAAGGACGGGCGGTGCGAGGCCTCGTAGTCCATACAGCTGTTTATCAGATTGGCCAGCTCTGTCCATTTGGGAGCTGGAAGCTGGTGCCTGTCTTCATAGAATAAGTTCTTCTAAAAAGGAAAAGGAACAAAGTCAGGAGAGAAGTGACAGGAGACTTTTCTAAAATAATCCAAAGAGGGTGTTGAATATTAACACTTTCATGGCATTTTAACAAAAACATGCATCTTTTAAAGGAATAGTTCAACATTTTTGGAAATGTGATCATTTGAAGCAGGAGGAAAAAGTTAGCCTGACTTTGTCTTTCATTTTTTAAAATGTTCTACCAGTACCAGCAGGCCTTCAGTTGACTAACTGACATCCTGCATCTAGAATGAAAAACAAAAGGACACGTGGTTGGTTAACACTTTTTTTTTTTTTTTTGGTTTCTTGTTGAGTAGTGACCTTTTGGAGCGGGTGAGTTCAGGCAGCCGGTGGCAACTCCATTTTTACACTTAATTCAACATTTCCCTTAAAGTTGAACTGTTCCTTTATCGTTTTCTCAATGCATCCTTTGTGTTTGTGACCTTGGAGCAATCCAGAGTGCTGAGTGGTTTGTCTCCACCACTACAGATCTCCCAGAGCGTTGTCCCGTAGCCCCACTTGTCTGTGGCTAAACTCAGGTTCTGTGGTTTTTCAATGCACTCGGGGGGCACCCATGGGATACGCTCTACCAGCACTGATGAATGGACATGTATAGAAAAAGAAACATAAACATAAAGGGAATAGTAAGTTAGGGATGGAAAATACAATGGTAGAAATCTCTCTGCGGCTGACACGATCACACCAAAGAAAAACTTGGTGAATGTTATTCCCACATGGCATCACATAGGTGTGTGTGTGTGTGTGTGTGTGTGTGTGTGTGTGTGTTCTCACATCAGATCAGTACATGTGTCTCACCTTCTCTGGGCAGAACAGTGATGCTGATACCAGGATCACTGAGCTTTATGAATGGCAGGTTGCCTGTCTTGCGATCCGCCTCTCTGATCAGAAGAACGTTCTTTGCACAGACGTTTCCATGAATGAGGTTTTTATCCTCCTGTGTGCACATATGATGAGGACTATCAACTGTATTGTCAAGAGGCATTTCTCATTACGGTTTTCTGTCTGAAAGAAAATGGTGTGTATGTACTGCATATGTCTGCAGTCTTACCAGGTAGTGCATAGCCCAGGCTAGCTGCTTGGCCACTTCTAGTTTCCATGTGATGTTGACACAGCTTTTATTCTTTTTCAGGTAAATGTCCAGAGAACCAAATTTACCAAACTCCTGCACCATCATATCTGACAGGCAAAGGAGAGAGAGATTACGTTATTATTCAAACTATTACCCATTAACTAAATCTTTCAAACAACACCAACAGGTTAATGTTTTTCTGTAGCTTATTTCCTGCGGTATCTTCAGCAACTCAACCAAACACAAAAGCATATTCTGGCATCTGGTTCAGTTCTGTTTTCCCACATGAGAAATCTGGCTTTCATCATGAGTCGAACTGAGATATTCTTGTGAACAGTTATAAGTGCAACAGGACGTTAATGAGGTCCACCCTGGCATGCAGAGAAACAGACAAAAATATTGGCCCTACAAACAATTTCTAAATCACTTCATTTCTTTCCTGTCTGAAAGTAGTTTCCAGGTCAGGTGCAAGGTCAGGGCAGAGCACAAAGCAAGTCAGCAGGTCAGAAACATTATATCCTCCCTGTTTGATTCTCCGTACTGATTCCGTGCGGGTGTTTGACAGACCACATGACTGTTTTGTTTTGTTCTCAGCATCTCTCACTGACAAAGATCTTGAAACTGTCAAGTTTACAAGCCACAGGTGAAAATAACTACCACAGAGCACTCCTTTGTTACATCTCTGCGTGTGTGGGTGCTGTAAACTTACTCTCATCGCCGCAAACACAAACACCATAGTTGAGTATTAAGTGCTTGTGGGAGAGCTGGCTCATCATGCTGGCTGCTTCAAAGAACGACTACAAGGTAGAAAATAGACAGAATATGATTTTAAATGTTCATTTAATCAGATGCAGTCACTCACTCATTCAGCCAGACGACAAACCAACCTCTGAATAATTGCGATGAGCCTTGTCCAGGATCTTGATAACAACATCCATCCGATGTACATCTCCATAATCTCTCAGCTCCTTCCTCACACCGCAGAAGATCTTGGTGAAAGTTCCTTGGCCCAGACTGTCATTCTAAAACAGTTTTAAATATAATGTCAAAAACCTGCTTTGTAAAGATGGTGAAATGCATCAACCATAATTGTTGAGGCTATGATGTAAAGAGACCAGAGAAATATTTCAGCCAAGCAGTCTCATAGACGACCACATCTGTTGTTAACATACTACATGTGTACTACGTATATATGAAGTTACTCTATCGTTACTTCAGAGATTACGGCAGAAAACACAATCGTAGTTGGTTGTGAGGACAACTTTCCCTACACTGCCCCTATGTGCGTGCTGCATCTTGCAGATGGGTCCCATTCATTTCTAAAGAAATGCACAGCTGATGTAACAAACTGTGCAGGATGGACAGGAGGCAGGCATGATGCTTACTTGTACACTTGATTAAAAGCAAATTTATCTCCATGTATATATAGATAGAGATAGAGAGAGAGAGAGAATCATGTGAGTTTTTGTGAATTTTCTTTTCATAATGTTATTTGATTATTTTTTGTGTCAAAGGGGAATCTTTAGTGCACCAGATTACAAAGAAGCACAGAGAGTTACTAATTCATTCAATAAATCTTGGTCACAGGAACGGAAAACAAACCCAACAATGCCCACTCCTGCCATGCTTCCATCAAGTTATGACTCAGTCAGCTAGAATCAGCCCAATTGGTTTCTTAATAAATTTGAGGTCAGGGTGTCCAAAGCTCTAAAACACTGCATGAAAAAAGAGGTGGATAAACACACTAAAACATGAAGACGATATTGTAATGCAGGAGAAAAACTCTGAGTGCTTTGATTATTGCAACTGTAACATTGTGGTTTTCCTGTGACAGACCTGTTGTATGTAACACTGAGAGCTCAAACAGCAAAAATTATGCTGAGATGGAAATGGACCAACCACTGAGGTGAAAGAATGACACACTGTCACATGGATTCATGCGATGCACACAGGGACTGCAACTGATGATGCTGAGCTACAATAGGAAGCCTTTTTGTTATCGTTTCCTCACTGACCCTGCACAAGTCCCTCTTGTCCCCTTGGGGTGTGGCCTCTTACCTTGTCTACGAAAAGCCTGCGTCAGTATATTTTGGCTGCACAATTAGTGTTTGTTCACAATTAGAAAGGCAAACTGGAGTCATTTCAATACTGTGGTAAGCTTCTACAGATTAATATTTTTATAATAAACACTGCATCAAATACCAAACACTAAGCTATCTTACTAAAACCAATAGCCTGGTTATGAGTGTCTGTAACCATTATTTTTCTAAGACAAAAAGCTACAGCAGGAAGTCAACATGGGTTATCTTACGATGGTGAGGTCCTCTTTTCGAATCTTGTGGAAGACCATCTGGCCGGCATGTTTGTGGAGGGACGGCGTCAGAGGAGCCTCTGCCCCCTGGTTAATTCTACACACCAGCAGGTTGGATTTTTCTAAAACAATTAAAGGTGGACAGGAATTAGGATCCGTCACTCACATTTAGCAGTAAAGCAGGGTTATTGTGACTCATTAAAGAGCAAATCAGAGTAGAAATAAAGTTTAATCTAGAGTTCTTAATTATCAGCATGAATGAAACCTGAGTGATTTGTATTCGTTCCTTAAAGACCGGTAATTTGCGTCTTGATATAGCATTTTCACAGCAGGAAACTTGGTGAAGTAATTAAAGAGTAATAGCTCAGTGGAGCTGTAATAAAATCGTACTTCCTGCCTATTCAACTGACAATGAATCTACTTCAGTCAGTTATACAATACAGTTAAAAAACATATAAGATGTTTTTCCCAAATTATTACAACCAGCTTCACTTTAGCTGATTTGTAACCCAGCTGTTTTTTATGGGTTAAAATGTGATAATGAGAGAATGTTAACCAGACGGAGCTCAGAGAAGGAACTCAGAGAGATGTGTGTGTTGATGATAAGGAGCTAATGTGCTCAATTAATTTTAGAAACCCAGTTATAGCTGCATGGTCTATTTTGTCAGAAGTTGGACAATCATGTAATTAAATCCAACTTATCAATATATAGGCTACATACACTTTATTAAACAAACTCTTATCCTGAAAAACTCATTATCTTAAAAAAAGATTGAATAGATGTGAAAAGTTATCAGCTGTACTTTGAAGGAAAACTGCTGGAGGGTCGGGCCATGACTCAAGGACGAACCACTTGAATTTTGGGGCAGATTCAGATCAACGGGCTGATGGAGGATTCTTTTTATCACTTTCTTTAACAGGGTGAAATAGGGCATGAGGTATGAGCTCTCCGAGCGCCCTTCACATTTTACTTGTGTTAATCTCTGTGGGGATACACATTTACATCAGTGTGGTCTTGTATGTGAACACTGACCTTTGTGGCTGGGGGGGCAGCACCTGGTCAGCTGAAATGTGTATCCATCTGTGCGCAGCGCCTCCTTTTGATAACAGTGCAGAAGCTCCCTCAGTGAGCCAAAGCTCCTCTTGGCTCCACTCAGAATGTACTCTCCTGACTCCATCTTCATGATCTGACAGTGCTTATAGTCAACCACACTTTCATACTGAAAGTCAAATGAAAACATATGAGTCAAGAGAGAATTATGACAGTTGAGTTGTGCTGAGTTGCTCTTAAATGTCAGTCATTTTATTTCAACTAACAGTTAACAGAAATAGCCACTCATGCAGCAGTTACTGTGACTCTGACCATTTTAGTCCTTACCTGATAGGACCATTATACCAGAGCACTACATTTAAATTGTAGTGTAATGGCCCTGGTTGTCAGCCAACAGTCATGTGAAAAATACTGTCGTTCACAATGTTGAGGACCCAACATTAACTTCTTACCCCCACAACAAAGGACATGAAGTATTTGTCGTAGTCTCTTGGGCTGCAGCGCAGGATGTACAGGCCTTGATGGTTGCCAAAGCGGCGCAGCTTACCAATCGTAAACTCCATCCTGTGATTCAAGAGACAGTGTGGTTTTGTGCTTGTTTGTGTAGGTGTGAGAACATGTGTGACTTGCTTGCATATGCGTGACACTCACGATACAGGGCCGTGGTAGTAACTCTGAATGCACTCCAGAAGTCTTGGTGGAGCCACCTCTTTACAAAGGTAATGATGGGCATCAGCCACTAGTCTGTAATATCCATCAACTAATGATACAAACGACAGAGCCTCGGATGGAGAATGAAACTCCAGTTCCTTTGTGGACATCGACACAGACACAGGGATCAGAAGAAGAAAAATAAATCATTCGGTACCTGATTTGAACTTAAACACATAAGTAAAAAATAACTTTTCAATCTGTTTAGTCATTAAATAATAAACTAGTTGTGATAGTGGTGCTAATTAAGTTGAATAGTTCTTCTTTATGTACTGTAACTACTTACTTGTTTAAAATTGTCTGTCTAACTGTGTTGCTGCTGTATCAAACCACTTGACGCCTTTGCTTTAACAAGAATGAGGTGACTAGGAAATGTGTCCCTGATATATTAGATTAGATTAAAAGTAGGCTAAGTAAACTAGCTAATAATCTTCAGAGTGACAGCAGATCATTAGGTAGGTGATACTATACCAGGGTCATGCTGTCCTGTCTGGTCAGGGTAACTATGCGACTGTCTGCAGATCCTTCCTTATTAGCCTGTTTTATGCTGATGTCAATCAGCTCTGGGAAGTCACAGAATGTTTTTAACTCCTGGAGATGCAGAAAATACAAAATGGCAGTTTGCATTTGTATAAGATGAAGATGTATGCACACACAGGCACTCTTATTGATTCAGGAATTTTTAACCCACTCCTTGAGCACCATCTATTGGTAAAAAAAAACAGCCATGATCGTATCACACTGTTGCCAATTGGTAATGTGCAAATGCATTACCAAGGCAACATGAACCGATCTCCTGGTCCTCACCTCCTCTGCTCCATCTTCTTCTTTCCCTTTCAAACACTGGATGCCCTTGTTGCCCGTGACAACGATGGTCAGCTCGCACGCAGATAGGTCGGTGACTTGAAAATGCTCTGAGAAGAGTGAGGGCAGCAGCATCTCCAGGTTCATCAGGTATTTGAGCCTGAGGTTACACACCGTGACCTTGCATTCAGTGAACTGTTGGATGAACTTCTTGAAGCGATAGCGGATCCTTTTCCGCGTCAAGATGTTGTACTCCTGGATGCGGCTCCGCATGCAACTCGGCAAGAAGGATTTGTAGCTGAAATCAGGGAGTTGCTGACGATTAAAGTAGAAGGAACAGAAAACAAGTAACAGGCAATACCACAAAACTTACTATTAAGGAATGGGACAAATTACTTACATAAGAATTCACATTTCAAGCATGGACACAATGCATAAACATTGAACAGATCAGATAATACACACACATTTACAACTTAAATATTGTCTCTCACAGAGATAATTCATTCAACTGCATGAACACACATAATGAAACTATCTTCATGTGTCTAGTGAAGCCTGTCACACTGCTGTGAAATCTTTATTCAAAGGCTGTAGCACACCAGTGTAACAGCGAGCATTTTACATTATTTAGGGAAGAGTGTGCAGAGTGAGGCAGGGCCTGGAGCTGGAATTTTGGTGTAGACAGTAGCAAAGGTTTAATGTTTTATTTTTTACTTTACATTTCAGCACTTATCCGACTGTTCTACCATAAAGATGATCAACCATGTTCGTCTTCATATTTATGCAACTCTTCTTTTTTTTTTTTATCTTTGAGACAATTTTGTCCTCCCCTAGGTTAGATTAAATATTGTACATATAAGAGCCACCCAAAAATATTGTCACATTAGTGTGGTGAGCATTCTACCTGGTATCATTGTAGATGTCCACAGGTGACTGACCATTCTCTTTAGCAAGCCTCATCATGTCCAGCACCGCCATGCCCAGACACTCCTCCTGGGACTCGTGGCTCACTGGGATTTCAACCAAGCCATTAAGAAAGTCGCTACGCCACTAGAGAACAAAATGAAGAAATGATACAAAAAATGAATGAACTGATGGACTGATTAGGTCCACAGAAAAAAGGAGTTGGATGTGGAAGTTGGATGTGGGAGCAACTGGCTTAATTCCAATGCCTGTAAAATTCACTCAATTCCAGCAGAATGTATATGGAGCATGATGGGCTGCTGGCACATTTTTCATTTGATCTTGTCTTGCCATACTTTAGTCTGTTTAACTGTTTTTTAAACTTCACAAATACATTTGATGAAATTCACTCACACACACAAAGACATTGTATGCATGCATAGACAGACAAACACTGACTGACAAGAAAACATAACCTTGTATCTTATGTGTGACTTACACTCTTACTAACACTTCCTGTTTTCTCAGTCTACAGAGAAGAATGGGTTGACATGACAAACAGACTGTCAAAGAGACTCTTACCACCATGTTTCTCTTTATACTGAGAAAAATGTGGGGGCATTAGTCTTGTAGATTCTGACCTCTAGTTACACCCAAAACACAAATGATATAGACTAGGAATGCATCCTAATGCAAAACTAATTTACAAAGACAGAACTAAAATATAAAATGCATAAAAAAACATCAAAGTACACAATGTAGTACTTGAAGACTGACCTGAAAAAACAGGTATGCCATTACACAATCATCAATAACAGGGCTCTCCCTCCCGTTGGACACACCGTAACGATGGGCATAAATTGAACTGCTGTTGTTATACCAGCCAGGAAAATAATATCTGGACAGAAGAGAAGATCAGAGAAGTTAAAACAAAGATATGAATGAAAACTCTGAAACTGATTATAATATCTCTACCTTATTCTGAAGTGCAGGTCTTCACTTTCTGACTGGTGGAGTTTAAAGATGTGATTTGGAGGGAACCATATCCGGTCACTTTCCCTCAACAGGGCAAACAAGTTGCAGTAGACTGGAGCAATCCCTGAAACAAAAGACAACAATCAGTCCTTTAAAAGTCACAATGAGTCAATGTACTTCACAGAAGATTGATTTTGTTTCTGCAGTGACTGTTACAGACAGAGGAAGCAAGTCAGCAGTTTTTTCCATTTTTGAGTCAGTCTCTCTTTACTCAGGCATGCAGAGCATCCTGCCCGTTAAACATGAAAAGGGTCTACACATCTACTACTGTATTCATGTCTAACAGAGTTGGCACTAAAGACCGACAACTGGCCAATATTTAGACATAAACATGGTCAAACATATACTGTCTGTTTACACACACAAACAGCGTGTGTTGTGGTAGCAGAGTAGACTGCAACTGTTTTGATAATTTTCTTTAGTGGACAAAATGTCATCACACACCAGGAAGCACTAACAAAAATGAAGCAATTGTGTGTGAACAGGAGTGGTGCATAAGAGGGAGTATACTCAACCACAACAGAGGAAGTCAAGTCAAAGTACACACTAGAAAGACACTCGGTTGAGCACATACTGTACCTCTGCCAAGGCCCCTTAAATTCAGTCGCCCTCCACCAAATTGCACACACTCATAGATATTGGTCCTTTTAGTATCCCTGATATCTTCTTTATGTCTTGAGAAATTCACAATCTTGCTAAGTTAAAGACAGTGAAAAAGAAATCCAGTATCCTCCTTGAACAAATCCCTTCCTAAAGTTAATGAATTCTTCCTTGGCCCAGTTTTAAGATGAAAACATAACATCCTCTGCAGAGGTAACAAGGTTAATTTACTACAAAATAAACAATACAATATTCTGTCAAAATGAGAGAAAATGACTATTTCCTAACATTAACAGTTAAGATCCATTGCATTGCATTCATTAAGCTTAATAATATACTTATAACCTAGGTAGAGAAAGCTCATAGAAATACCTCACATGATTATTATTTGACTTCGGTTAAAGCATGAACAGTAGACTGGGTGAGTAAGAAGGAAGGTGGACAATAACAATCGAGAGAAAGACAAGCAGTGAGTAGGAAATTACAAAAACTAAAAAAAATTAAATGTGAGGGTACACAGAAAAAGAGGAAGATAAAAAGGAGAGAGAGAAGGGTTTGTTTCTTATCAGCTTGAGAGGGAATGAAGCAATAGAGTGTGACAGAAGGAGATAGAGCAAAGGCGGAAAACAGACACAACAGTCGACAACTTCCTGATTTGAGATTGCTTAAAAGGGAAGGCAAAGAGACAGACTTAGAAATGCAGCCCAACATTTTTTTTAAACACGTTTCCTAACCAAGGGATTCATGTGAAGAAACAGGTTTGGGAAAAAAAATTACAAACAGGGTTTTTTCTGGATCGCAAGTGATGAGATAGTTAAAAGGTATATGATCATTAACGTCATACATATTTACAGATGATCAGAATTGCAAAAGTTTCATAGGCTGAAGATTCATCAGAAGGATTTTTACCTAAATAGGCAATAATACAATGCACTTCTCACTATAACTGAAGGAGACATGTAAATTAAACTTTACAATAACCAGTCTGTTTGATTATTTACTGTCTTCCTATGAACATGACCGGTATAAGTCTGGGCAAAGATGATCATGCTCAAAGCTTAAAACTGTAAACTCCTGACCAGTGAAGACGGACCACAACCATATATAGCTGCTAGATATTTGCCCTAGAAATAGTTCATTTAAATGTCAGTAAACAAAAACAGACCCAGATTTTCTAAATTTATTTGCAGACAAGACATTCTGTATCAAAGAAAACAGCATAAAATGTCTAAATAAGGCATTGGGCCACCACATGCTGCCAGAACAAGTTTGAAACTACTGATGCTTGGTAAGTTTCAAAGGCTATTTATGGTTTGGTTCACGATCAACACTGACTAAAGGGGCAATGCAAGTGGCAACTTTTGCAGCCTAAAATTTAAATGTTTATGTACTGGTTACTTTATTACTAATAAAAGCACTATTTTATTTGGCAGAGAAGGAAGATTACTGGATAAAATGGAATGCAGGAAAATGGAATCCCTGGTTATGTGTGGTGTTGGTGGTGGTCAACTACTGTATACCCTCATTTGGAATTTGAGGCCTGCAGTACATTATAAAAAATGTTTCTTTCAACAACACACACTAAGCGTGTATTTGAGTCATGTTTCATTTGTAACATGTAAGGTAAGTTTGAACTGATGTTACTCAACAATGACGATGGTGTTATGTGTGTGGACAGACATCATAACTGAAATCCACTTGTGACTTACCACAAGCTTTTGCCGCAGCGATGCACAGTTCCTCCACAATGTAATCCCCATGTGGAAATGTGAGCACACTTTTTGAGACTTTGGCCCCATGCCCTTCTCCGGCCTTCCCCTGGTAGTAAAGGTGGACAGTAAGACAGGCGGCATCCACGTCCTGCTTGGGGTTGTGTCCCATGGCCGGGTCGTGGTCAGGCTGGAGATCATTGCCGTGCGCTGTGGGACCAGAGGTAGGCAGCTCCATGTCTGTCAGCACAATACAGGCCATGTGCTGCTTAAAACATACATGCACCTGTCAGAGAGGAAGGAGTTTATCTTTAGTGAATCCAGGAGCAACTTTTTCACTGACCATTGTGCACAGCTCCTAGCTGTGATGATCACTTACCTTGTGGGTGCTTATCGGAAAACAATTTCTTATCATATAACTGCAGTGCAGTGGGTTATCTGTAAAGACTGCACTGAGCAGCCTTCAGTGGTTTTTCATATTCAAACTATGTGCATATGAACTGTCTTCGTTCCAAATCATAATATTTCAATGACAACAGAGGGAAATGTTTTATGTGTTTATGTCTTCCTGTATCTCAACATCTACTAAAGCATGTGTCTAACAGAAAGTCTGTAGACCAATGGTAAACATTATACCTGCTTATAGCTTAAAGTATAGTGAATAGCCCAAATACTAAATGAATACTAAATGTGTTGGAGGCTAAGCATTAACAGACACCCAGATTAGTGCAATTGATGTTCAGTGTTGTAGAAATGGAACAAATCCATTGGATGAAAAGGAATGCTCTGCTTAATCCCAGGACCTTCACAGCATGACCTCTTGACCCAGTTACAGTAGAAGAAATGTCACAGTTACTTGATATACTCTGCGTAAGTCTGAAGGAGCATGCAGCATGCAGTATGTCTCTTTTAGATTTCGGTTTAGTTATGTCGACAGTACATTGTATTTTACCTTGTTCTTTTGGTGTGCTCTGTTTGTTTTATCTCTGTGTTCATATTGCTGCACTTCCTCTTTATGGTTTTTTGACTTTAATCAGCTGATAGCAACACCCTTGCCGGTTTGAGCCATGTCCTCTCAATGGTTTGAGAGCTTTTAATGTTTTACTGTTCTGTAGGTAACCATGGTCATCTCAGGTTAAGCCACATTTTGCTAATCGTCACTGCACACAATCCTCCACTGTACAGGATTTTCTGCCGAAAAACATAAAACATTAAAACTGAATATTATTTGTTTCCTTAAATATGTATGAGCCACCTCAATCCAGATTTTAGATGAAAGCATGACTACTTTGACTGTAAGAGGACTAAAGATAATTAGTAATCGTAATTGTCGTCACAGATTCTGTCAACTGTGTTCTACTTCTTTACAAATCTCGACAATATGAATTGATTCAATAAAAAGGATTAAAAACATTGTTACAGGTTCTTGGTCTAAAGATTTGTGCACGTTGATCTGCAGCTCAGGGTTTAGTGAGGCTTTTTTCATCATGTAAAGTTCAACAGTTGTTTGTTCAGAGAATCTGTGTTTGCCAAGAACCAAGGACAGTGGACACACAATATATATTGTACATATCCAAAGCTGCATATTTTTCTGATGATGAAAACAGAAGATAGATTTGCATAAAGCAAGGATCTCGATGCACTGTTGAGATCTGGTATTTAATCAGTGACTGTGAAAACTGAACAATAAGGTAATTTAGAGGAAGAAAATGAGATCTGTCCAACGTTCTCTCTAAATGATACAGGTCCGGTTGGTTTTCTTCTGTCCCTTTTATTGCCCTGTCATGTAAAATAAAAGAAGAAAGTGATTTTGTAAATATTGAGGCTGCATAAAGCCAGTTTACATATTAAAACATAAATTAGCCAGTTATCTGGAAAAGCCTGGGAGAAAAGAAAGAAAAGCTCTTTATCGAGTCAGTCCACAGATCGGTAACATGTCTTGCTTTTCGAATTTACTTTGCAGTAGGATAATGTCATTTTCTGCATATAGTTTACAGTATTAAAGACAGAAGTCGAAATTAATCAGTTATTTTTGTCAAGCTTCTTCTTAAAATAACCTCATCAGTTGTATATTGTGTACAAAAGATGTCTGGATTGGCTGGTTTGCTTCCATTCCACCCCTCTGGTGCTGTGGTGCACAGAGAGCACAACTGTTTCATCTTAAATATTCTGATTTAATAATGAAGGATTTATCTTTAAAGTTGCTCTACTACCATATTTTTGTGGCCTGATTCAGGCCCTGGTCGTTTGAGGCTAAATCATGATGTGGTTGTTTTTGCCGTTGTTCATTGTTTCACCGAATATCCATCACGTTTAGACAAAAATGCAGCTGTAACTCAAGGATACTGAGCTGATAGTCAGTGTGTAGACCACCCTGTTCCTTTTGCTTTAGTCTTAAATCTGTCAAGGGGTAGTTCGTCTGTCAGTGCAGGTTTCTATATATCTAGAACCTGGTCTTGTGCCACTTTGACTCATGCTCAATTATGTCATAGAAGAAAAGAACGGCAATGCTAATATTTACATAGATAGAATATTTATCCTGCACTGCAAAGGGAATATAGTTTATCGAAGTCTTATAATACTATTGTGTTGGCAGGCCATATTGCTCTGCAGATATTTCATTAAGATCACTTCATAGTATTTCATGTATTTTCTAATCTTATGCTGGCAGGAAAAAGACTTTTTGGCCAATGATAACTATAAACAGGGAGAGACACACAATTTGTAAGTCTGTAACTTCAAGACGGCTCAGTGTTGTTCATTCATTAATGACACTTTAACCTGGTGTGGCAGGCTGGCGACCTGTCCAGTTGGGATTGGCTTCAGCCCTGACATGAACCTAACTGGATAAAAAGCTGATGATGAATGAGCATTGCTGATGAATTACTATAACATGATGATGGCAAAACACCTCATTAAGATTCTGGAAAAGACGAGGATTTATAGAAAAGGTAGGAGTGCTAGTTTTTATGCAGCTAATTAGAAATTAGATATATAGACCTTCTATGTAAGGTCTTGACCTTCTATGTAAAGTGCCTTGACATAATATATATTATGATTTGGCTATACAAATAAAATATAGGTGTGAATCCAGATTGCGATTTTTATCCAATTAATTCAAATTTTGAATCCTGATAAAAAACATTAGCTAAGTTATGTTGGCAGTCAAATTATAAGTACAATTTAACTGTAGCAATCATTCAATGTTTGACCTACTTTATGTAGGTTACATCTCGTATGTGGGTGCAAAGAAAACGTAAGAAGATGACGAGGTATTGCTTTGGTGTACGAGCCCTGAGCAGCTGAGGCTGAATGTTACTGAAGCTACACAGTTGGACGACCTTTGAGGAAAGTCAGCAAATGTGAGAAGAATACAGGACAACACTGCTCTCTTACCAGTGTGTTTACACACCCAAAAGGTTTATCATCAGGCACACAGGCATAGAGTTAGACCAGTTCCTCACTGGGTCTTATCAGGGTCTCGGTGCTACTAAAGGTCAGAGCTATCTGCTCAGCCACATTTTTTAAGTTGCTCTACTCCACAGCTGTTTGCTAAAACCACTACATTAAATGGCCTTTTGATATTTTCAATCAATCAAAGATTATTTGAATAGCCCATATTCACATTCACAAGTTTTCTCATTGGGCATAACAAGGTGCGACAACTATTTTGCATGTCCTCTAACATATCATGTGTTGCTCCGAAACAAATAATCATCAACTGTTGCTAAATCACCTTGGCAGGATCGTGGAGATACTGAAATCTAATATAATTGGCAATGTTGCACTCCTCCATATAATCTAAACTGTAAATTTAGTTTGAGACTTTCAATTTATGCTCCCCTGTGCTCACCAAGGGGCTCACCACTCATTTGATCTAACCAGATTTAATTATAATTATTTGTTATAACATTAAATTTGTGCTACATTTGAATTATAGATTATTCTACTTAATACCTATTTAAACATACATCAAAATATTGTCTTATTCTCCACTGAGATAACTGCATAAGTCAGAAGTGCATTCTGGCTAAACAGCTGTGATGCACTGCCAAATAATAAAGTGTCATAAATGATCAGAGTACTGTGAACAACAAATAATGCTAACCACAACCACACTATGATATAGCCTTCAATGGCCCAAAGCCTTATTTAGACGACCAAAGTTTGGTCACAGAGACCCTTCAAACAGGAGTAAAATCATTGATTTAAATCTCACTGAAACCCGTAGAAAAAAACTTCTGATAAAACAGTTGTGCTCCGTCTCATCATAGCACCAGAAATGAGGAAAGGAACCAGTAAATCCATCATTTTTCACATGATGTTGTGAAACAGATGTTATGTAATTAAAAACAAGTTATGGTGATTGAAGTAAAATGGGGAACACAGACTCATTTCCTTTCCCTAATCCAAACTATGTGTGTTTACTCAGTGTTGGCTCCAGCTTTGCTTGAAAGACAAAGTTTATTTTTTGAGAACGGGATCCTCATCTGAAATACTTCTAAAAAAATGAATTTTGCCTTAAGTAATGTAAGAATACACGTGCAACATGTTAGCAAAGCTTTTCATTCACCTACATCAAAAGGAATGAAGTTGTCTATAGCAGCATGCTACAAAAGATGAATGAATCGAGGCTCCAAGAGACATTTTACCTTACCTCTAATTATACAGCACCATAGTGTGGGATGTTTTCATTATATCTTGTTCAAAACGAGCTGTACGTCTCTCCATGATCAAAATCAAACATTGTGACAAACGTTATTTTTGACAAGAAAAAGTCTGATGTGGAAAAAGCTGGACCTTTGCTGTTGCTGCTTGTTCCAGTTATAACTGAACCAACTCACTTACAGCAGCTTAAAGAGATCTGTGACTTGAATAAAACTCCGAGGAAGTTGCACATGACACAACAAGTCTCTGCATGTCTGTGTCACTGATCTTATTATTCCAGTAAATAAATAAATATGTCCGTAAGTGCTTTGAAAAGAAACCCAACAAATTAACACCACCTGATAAAAATGTTTAAAACATAAACAGGATATTTACAGCATGTCTGACCCTAAAATAGATAGACTGCTAAGCATGTCCTTATTGAGTAAAAAATCCAGTATTCCCCTGAACTACAGTGCACTGTTTAGAAACAACATTAGTCTCAAGGGAAAGGGATGACTAAAAATATAACAAACAACACTGCCTCCACTCTTAAAGCCATTAAACCTAGCACACACCCCACAACTGGAAACTCAACTGGCTGCTCTGTAGATAATTAACTAGCCTGGCTGGGTAGTCAATTCTTACCTGGTAAAAATAAATTGTCTATATAAGATAAGCATCCATCACATGGTAGTAGAGCCAAAATGACAGTAATGTTTTATTGACGTAAGATATCACATGAATGCCAAAAGATGTTTGAGGTATAAATTAGATATAATTCATTGCAGCACTAGGATACCAGTTTTCTACAATTTGAGTTGATGTATTTTCAATGTTTCTTCTATTCAAGCAACTAAACCCCAGTGATATTTGTAAGTATATATTAGTTTTGCATTGGAAAAGACTCCAATGCTGCTGAAAATTCCGGGTTGGGCATCTATATACCTATACCACGTTTTATTAGTTTCACCCAGATAAAACTGAAATTTTCGTCATTGGCCAGTTCGCAAAGTCCAGGTGTCGGAATCAGTTTCAGGAAACTGCAGTTTCAAAGGCCTTTCTCTTTGAATCAATAAATCAATTACCATTTGAATAATAAGACACGCCTCTTTTATTTAATGTAAATATCAATATTTTAAATATATTCTTGTATATTTATTTCAATAGCTTCAATGTCATGTGACCCACTGACTCCAAACACAAAAACATGATTTTATAAGTCTGGACTATATGGATATTGAAATAAGTCTCAACTAACAAAGCATGACAGGTTGTAACAGATTTATATACAATCCTATGTTTCTTATCGTATCGGGACATCTCCAATGTAAATACACACAAGATAAATCTATATCATGTCGTTAAAGCGAGCAGAAAATGAATTGTGATCAAAGCTAAATTCATTTCGAGGTGTGAGCGTGAACGTGTGGGGACAGGTCCCACGTGTTGCACGGTAATAACAACATGTAACAAACTTTTACAGCTCTTCATTTCAACTCTCCCACGTTGCTGTACATCAACATCAGGCGCAGTCAGGGACGGGACCTGTGGCATGCTAGGCTAACTCCGGTCAAGTGGTGTCCGGACGGTGTTTTTACACAACAAAAAACTGCACAACACGGACACACACTCTCGCACAACACTTACTCTGTGCTGTCCCCTGCTTCGCTGCTCGACTTGGACTCAGAGGACCGGCTGGTGGAGTTCACCCGGGGAACAGGACGGGCTCATGGGGTTAGCTAGCTGCGGACCTAACGGCTAGCTGTCAACTGAAGTACAGCTACACGTCCGTCTTCACCGCTGCTCCTCCGGTACACTGCTCACTTGAACCTCCTCCTCCTCCTGTGCTCCTGTGCTCCTTCTCGGGTCTCCTCGCCTCGCTGTGTGGACAGAGGAGCGCCTGACAGCTCGGTGATGACAGGGGATGGTGGAGGAGCTGAGGGCGGAGCAGGTTGTCTCCTCTCGGCTCCTCACTCCTCACCCGGGGCTTGCACCATGTTTTGTTTCCGCATGTGGTGGACTGTAACAAAGTACACGTACTCTTAAGTACTGCATCATTCTAAGTTGCTTGTTCCTTACAAGATGGATGGGTTTGGATTCAGTGTTGGTGTTATTGTGTTTTTCTATTCCACAAGTGTTATGTGCATGAAGACAGATTTAAATGGAGATAAAAGGTGATTTCAAGTTAATGTTATATTATTATAGTAGTACTACTAATACAATAGTAGCAGTTGTAGTAGTAGAATTAGTGTATTCTCTAAATGAACTTTCATCGGCAGTCCTTTTCCAGATGTTGATAAGCATCCTGCTGTGTTTGAATGTAGTACAATGATAATGCTTGTACACAGATGTTAGTTATCTCTGACTGTAAGAATACATGCAGTTAATGATCAAATAGAGTATGTAAGTGGACGTCTTTGTGTGTAAACAAATGACCCCGGCACATCTCACTCTCTGACCCTATGGAGACAAATATTAACAGAGCTGGAGGAGACTGTTTTCTGCTTTGATGTGTAGAACCCTCAAGCAACAAGTGCAGTGATAATGTGCTAAAATATGAAATCTTTTTCTTTTTGAGTTCCCCCCAAAACAAATGGAATATTCACCATCTCTGAGAACCTGTCAGCTCCTCACGGAGAAGGTGTTAATACGGAGTGATGTGACTGTGAAGCATGTGTGACAACCAGTGATTCAACCTCATCACATGTCTCAGCTTGTCCTGTCTGCCTGGACTGGGAGACGTGGGAAATGATTGGTTCCAGGACAGTCACATGCTCACTTCTCTTTTCGTTTTAAATTGTAACTAATAACACATTATGCTGATAAGAATACAGATGGTCTTTAGGCACAATGAGTACAACAACCTCACTTACAAAAAACAGACAGATGTCTCTTTCAAGCTCATCCATCCACTGTCCTATCGAGCTACTGTACATGTATTTTCATGTGAACGTTTGCAGTATTTACCATTTCTTGTGAAATGAAAAAGAAAATAAGATTAGATTAGATTCAACTTTATTGTCATGGCACATGTCACAAGTACAGTTTACAGTTGTATATAGTACAGAAAAAAGATAGTCACACAACCAATCAGTCAAGTAAACTTTGCAGCTCTGTTGTATTGAGCGACTTAGAGATTTATCGCCATCATGTGGTTGGTTTTTAGCAGTGCATCTGTTTGGGATAATTGCATACTCTGTGCTTCAGTAAAATCTTACACAGGCGGTGAAAGGGTTAATTAGTTCATGCTCAGCAAAACCCTCCTGCCTCGATTTAAGGTCATCAGCAGAAAACCACAGGAAGAAGGGTGAGCTGCCTCACCGCTGGAGGATGCATGTCGTCCTCGTGCAATGTGTAGCACATTAACGTTTGCTATAATCAATTCGATGACACTGTTTGAACTGTCAGGTGAGTACAAAGCCTCTGTTGTCAAAGTCCACGTTGTGGTTTGAGCAGTTTTTCACTCCTGCAGGATCCATTGTGACGGAATGAGCCTGTTGTAGAAGGTGAGGCTGGATCAGCATCTCTCTCATCCTCTCTTTGGCATTTCACCGACTTTACCATGTACAATTATTTCTAAACTGTTCCTCTTTTTAGCCACGAGAGTCAGAAAAAGCCCACAAGATATTTGAGATACAGTTTGATTGTGTTACAGACAATTTACGGAGTAATAAAGCTAATCTATGCAGCTCACAACATTTCTGTATTCAGACTCTTGTAAAAATGTGTGTTGTTTTTCCAAAGATCATTACAGATCATAATGTCAGCCTCCTCTGACACTTTGATGTTTCGTCTCCCCACCCACGGTGAGGCCATCCTTAGCAAAATGAACACTCTGAGAGAGGATCACCGCTTCTGTGATGTCACACTCCTTATCGGGGGTCTACGAGGCACCGCCGTCCAGCAATTCCATGGCCACAGAGTGGTGCTTGCAGCGTCCTCAGACTTCCTGCGTGACCAATTCGTGCTCCATGAGGGCCAGGCAGAGCTGAGCGTGGGTGTAGTTTCCAGCGTGGAGGTCGGTGAGAGACTGCTCCTGTCCTGCTACACCGGGCTCCTGGAGGTACATTAGAAACTGCAGCATCTCTGAGCTGTACAGTAACAACAGAGCAGTGTATACAGAATATAACCAGCTCTAGAGTCATAGAATCAAAACAGATAAACAGCACATTATGATATGAAAAGATATGAAGAGAAGACTTCCATCAGGGGTTGTGGGTCTGTTCTTGCATGCAGCTTTAAAGTGTTCAAGTGGGATTATGGCAACAGTCTTATTCCGTTGTTTTTCTACATCATTATTCAGCATTTTCCTTTATTTCCATAATTCATCTACTCCAGGTCCCTCTGAGGGAGTTGGTGAACTACCTCACTACAGCCAGCAGCCTTCAGATGAGCCAGGTGGTGGAGAAGTGTGCCCAGGCTGTCTCCCAGTACCTCAGTCCAACTCTAGCTTTCCTGAATCAGGAGATACGATCAGAGGAGAAGGAAATCCTGCAGCCAGACGGTGGTTGGCCAGACCTCAGCTCCAAAAATCAGGAGGAAAGGGATGGAGCCCAACCCAACAACAGTATCCAGGAAGCAAACAGAGAGGAAGGTGGTACAATTGTGATTCAGTCCAAGTCCAGGCTCTGCCAAGGAGCGAAGGCGGAAAGTCAAGGACTGAGGGCGGAAAGAGAGGAGAGGAGGGAGGCAAGAGCTAAAATACAGTCATCTGAAGATGCAGCCTGTTGTTTCAATACCCGGGAGTCAGAGGAAGGTAGAGACATCCAGCAAATCACCCAAGCTGTTCACACAAATGAGCAATCCTATCAAGTTCACAACACGCCAGGTGTCCTGAGATATGCTCAACATGAAGAGGGGCTGCACGGCTCCCAAAACCCAAATGAAAAACTCTCAGCTCAACTGCAAGAATGTCGGGAGCAGATGGACTCCGGTTTATTCTGCCTCTCTGGAGCACATCTGTCAAAAGGTCACAGAACTGTAGATGAGCTGACAGAAGGTTCAGAGAGCACATCAGTCCAGAGGCCGTACCTGTGCAGGAGGTGTGACAGAGTCTTCCAACACCTGGAAAGCTATGCGGGACACCTGAAGGAGCACAGACAGCACCTGTGTTTGGTCTGTGGGGAAGGCTTCACCCACAGGAGCACCCTGTCTCACCACATACGCGTCCACACCGGTGTCAAACCTCTCAGGTGCCCGCTGTGCCACAAGACATTTTCTCACAAGGCCCCACTGCAAGACCACTTCAACCTGCACACAGGGGACAAGCCCCACAAGTGTAACTACTGTGCAATGCAGTTTGCACACAAGCCAGGCCTCAGGCGCCACCTGAAGGAAACTCATGGTAAGAGTAGCCTGCAGAACAAGCTTGAGGAGGCAGAAGAGGACTGACAATGAAGTTGCGGTTTAACGTTTATGTTCTGTTAATGAAGTTCTTAAAGAAAGAAAAGAAAAGAAAAAAATCAGATGATTATTGCAACAAATCCCCCATTTTCCGGTCATGTTTCCTCTTATTGTGAAAGAAATTGTAATCAGATGAATTGATTGATTGACGGATTTCTTCATTCATACATTCTCCCTGCATTGCAGTGAGGCTTTAAAGCTTCACCATTTGACCCGACTGAAATTGTGTGCAGCTCACTGAGCATTATGTTATCAGTGAGTGGGTTGTCCCACATGGCTGAGAGGGTTTTCATGCTCCCTCACTGTGTTCTCTCCCTTCACGAGTCTCCTCATTCTCCGTCTTTTATCCTTTTGGCCCCGAAATGCCACTCATGTAAGTGAATGGAACACTACCATCTGAGATGCCATGGGCAGGGAGTATGTGACTCTTTGGGCAGACGAAGAATGAATGCACAGTGGAAGAGACACAAAATATAGGGTTAGATATATTTAAGTATCTGAAGTGTATCTACTACTTTCACTTTGCATCATGAGAGATTCCCATCATATACCTCAGAAAACGTTTCTTACAGTAATCCTGTGAGCAAAATACAGCTGCCCAAATTTCTCTTGATGAACGTAAGTCATACTTCATATGTGGTTCAACATTTAAAGAAGAGCTTTCATGTGGTTTGATCACGTGATTGTTCCTCTGATGTCAAATCTTCTTTCTGCCTGAAGTAAGTCTAAATGCATACAGTACATGCACACATCCATGCACACACCGTTTTACATACAAACACACAAACAGTGAATGTGGTATCCAGGGCACATCCATTATGAATGACAGATAGAGGTTTAAAATATGATGAAGATGAACTTCATGGGAAACATAGAGGGTGGATGAGTAGATCTAGATCTGGTCTGGCCACATACAATTTGTAAGTAAGGCGTTTTTTATTTTGTGTGATTTTCATTAATTAGGGACACAATACTTATTTCTGGATTTCTGAACGGTAAAAAAAGTCATTTAGATTCATCTGTCTGTATTGTAAGAATGTCTAATGCCTCCATACTTAGCAGACTAGTCTCACTAGGGCCAGGTTTTCTAGAAAACGGTGGCACTATGATGTGAAGTTGAAATGTTAAACGTTAATTTGTGGTTAACTTCAGGTTAATGTTATGTAGTGTGCTGACCTCTTGAACCCCTGTCTGCAGCTCTGACTGAGCACAACTTCCATGATGCCAGCCGCTAACTTCAGTCAGCAACACAGAAAAGAAGCAACCAAATAAAACATCCAGGCAGATAGGTTTAATTAACATTTAACTTATGAGGAATTATGGTTAACATCTTGTGCCACAGACACTGGTGTCTGGATGCTGCTGCAACAACAGTGATGATATTACATGTTTAATAGAAACACACAGTTTTGTTTTGGAATAATGCATCATAGCTTAAAGCACTGTTGCTATTGACTTCAATAAGTTACAACAATAATAATACAATCATAAATAAATATATACATATATGTTCATAAGTATGACATACCCTTCCTTGACTGCAGTGAACAGCAGGTCATTGGAGAAAGAGTGGTGATAAACACCAGATGTAAAACCACATGGTCAATGAGCCAGTTGAATAAGGAGATGAACGTCTATTGTATTGTACAGGATGAAGTTATCCAGCTCATAGCATTAAAACCTTCATAAGCTCGTCAACATAATCCATTGTTTTTACTGAACAAATACAATCTGTTGATAATCTAACAGCAATAGAGATGGAATAATATAAACAACTGGCTGAATTTGAATATTTTCACATATTATTTTAGTGAGGTCAACTCATCTCAAAATGTATTCTTACTGAATGGCTTTTACTTGAGTGTTTATGGCTTCATTCTTTTGCCATTCATTTTAAATGATGTTCATCTGTTGTCAGTGATTTTAAATGTTATATCAATTGCTGTATTTGATCTTTTAATGTTATGTCCTTGTATTTATTTGTCATAATGATAACTGTCACCAAAGTCAACTCAAAGTATTGTTTGTATTATTGAACCTGAGTAAACTGAGATATGGAGCACACACTGAGCTGATGCACTTTCTCTTCTGCTCCACTTCTCTAAACTCTGCGATAGAACGAGCGTCACTGTGTGTGTGTGTGTGTGTGTGTGTGTGTGTTCGTGTGTTTTTGTGTGTGTGAACTTCCTCCTGACAGGCGCACTTGTCGAAGCGCATCCTCCGCCGCCGCCTCTCGGTCTGTTCCTTTAAACGCAGACAGCCCACGCCTCGAAAAGCGGCTTGTTCCGGCTAGCCCCTTTACATCGTTTTTATCCTTGCTCTCAACATTAAAATAGTGCCGCTCCACTGACACTCAAGGATTCATTTGTATTATTACCATTAAATTAAAAAAAAAGGCTGGGGGTTTGAGGAAACCTTCGGGCTGGCCTGGGAGGGGTTGCACGATGCGTAAACGTGCACCAGCAGCGGTGGATCTCCGGCTGTGCAGCCCGGCGCTGAGGCTGAGTCTGAGGCGCAGTTCAGGCACCATCACCGGCGGAGCGATACAGCCATCTCCTCTCAGCTGCTGTTCGTCAAAGCGAGGGTGTGTGGCTGCTCACTGTACCTGAGCGCGTCCGTCACGTACAACAGGGGCGCAGAGGATCCGAGCCTGACCGAGGGAGTCTGTGCGTAATTCTGGGAAATGCATCAAACGTCGAGGAGGATCTCTGCGCGCCTGCTGCTGCAGCTGCTGCGGATGTTTTGCATCTGATGAAGATTTTTTTTTTCTGGTCGTTCTTATTTTGATGCGCTCCTGTGGATGATGAATATGTTCATTCTGGTGCTCTAGTGTAGCGCGTGAGGTAAGTGACTTATCCAGAGGTGCGCACTACTTTCTCCTCTCATTCAGATTTTGTGATGGGTGTAAAGCCTTTTAGACATTTTTAGGGATGCTCACTTGCTTTTGTTTTCCTCCGCTTATAGAAATTAGAGTTCAGTTGTTAGAAATGATCAGACCTGCAAACATCCCCAATTTCTGCAACTGGTATGATGGAGTAGAATATTATTAAAAGACAGCTTGTACTGACACTGGGGGCCTGGAGCTTGTATTCAGGTGTGAATGCAAAGACAGTTGAAGCACCCTGAATGCAATGTTGTAATGGTGGTCTGGTTGCATCCCATGCATGGTGATAGGGATTTGTGCAAAATGTGGTTTGTACAGAGGAACATCTCCTAAGCTCTCTGCATGTTGCTTCTCAGCTCAGGTGGTGCAGCAGTGTCATAAAGTTTGAGTACATGTTGGAGGTTATAACCTATAAGCTGCTGACTTGCAATTACAAGCAACCTGATACTGACAATATTTTCCAAGGCAGTGATGAACTGCACAGCTCCTGTTACTGCACACGCACACAGACACACACACACACACACACAGACACACACACACACACAGACACACAAACACACACTTGTAATAGTGAAGTACAGGCCTTTATTGTATTTGCTGTATAGTACAGCAGCTTGTGGGCTGCATCCCTGCCCTGCCTGTCATCCAGACACTACCCCCACACACTGTGATGACAAGCCTAATGAATAAGTAATCACACAGACCCACATACCCCTGCTGTACTCTCAAAAACAAGTCGTGAAACAACTGTAGGGATCCTGTACAACACATCCCTCATATCACAGTGGAACCAACCACTGTCACCATATAAACCAGTAAAACCATGTGAACACAAACAATGTGTATGAATGATAATGCTGGTATGTGGTGTTTCTGTGCCTGTTGAGAGTCTTTTACAAACTTCGTCACTTCTCTACATGAAAACTAAATTGTAACTTTCTCTTCATCATTAATGTGTTTGCTGTGGTGACCGGCATCAGTTCCACTTTACAGCTGAGAAGTAGAGGTTCCCATATATATCAACAGATATATGAAGTTAAGAGGGTTTTGTCGTTATAAAAACAGCCTGATTTCATTTGTTTCAATTCACATCCTTACTGTAGCTTCTTTTACTTAAAATGTATTAGGCCCAGTGGCTTTTGTTTGGCAATGTGGTGGGTGTGAATTTTGTTGTGCTTTGCCCAGAAGGCTGTACAATTGAGTGCATGCGAAAAGTCCGGCTGTAACTCATGTTGTTGAGGGGGCTGCGTGGGGCATATATGCGGAGGGACTTGAAATGTCATTAGCACATTTATGAAAGTGAAGCAAAGTGAGCTTCAAACAACAAAGCTGGCTCATGTGAAACGTCTGCACAAGTTTCTCATATTTCATAGAGTGGGTAAAGTGCAGCAGTGACACTGTCTTAGATGCTTGCAGGATCACAGCAGAATCATTTATCTCTTCAGTGTTTTGTACTGATGAACACAGGGGTCCAAAGGTGCAAGAGCACTTTAAATGATTGAGAAGCTTTTGTGATTTATCTTGATTATTTAAAATCTGTTCCCCAGGCCTATTGTCACCCCACTTTGCCCTAACATTCAAACACATAAATCCCATCATGGGGACTTGTTTAAGTCCCCATAAGGAAGACAAGTCTCTATAATGTGAGTGTGTAAACATATTCAGGTCCACGCAACATGAGTAATACCTGTACAGCACGCACACATGGAATGTTCTAATTCTGGGGTCTTGGTGATGGAAGGAGCAGGAACTTGCGAGCTCATATTACTTCAACTCATTTTCTGTGGTGGTGTGAGTCGTATGTCCACACATCCATTTATTATCTCTTTGTGTGTGAACCTCTTTGTGTTGCTGTAGTAGCGATGTTTCTGGTTTGACATGATTGTGAGGGTTCATCCATCAGACTACGAGTGAGGCAGCTCGTTCTGTTATCTCTGCTGCTACTGGTTGTTGTGGTTCTCAAAACTGATCAAACCTTTCACTTTTAGATTAGTTTTGTTATTTTTGAGAGATTTTTGGTGTAAAAAAGTTTGGACGAAGAAACAAAAAAGTTCTTCATAACCCTGGGGGTAGAGCGGGTCATCCATTAAGCAAAGGGGAGATGGTTCGATCCCTGGCCCCGAACAGGTGTTGCATGGATATGTATTTGTGAATAGGACCTGTAGCGCAAAGCGCGTTGTCCGTCAGAATAGCACTTTATAAATGCTCTCCATTTACCATTATTATCCCAGAGATGTTGCATTCAGACCTAAAGGCCATGGGACAACCTATAGCTAGCTTTATCATGTCACTTTGTCAAACACAGCAAACAGCTCAGTACTTCTTCTTCTACTTCTTCTTCTACTTCTTCTAATTTTTGCGTGAACTGGCATTCAAACTCCTCCACACAGACCTGTCGGACTTGTTCTTTGTAGGCTGGTTAAAGTGGCGCTGCCGTCCCTGATGTGTCTCTTTGCAGATACTGGGGTATATTAAAGGGGTACTTGAGCCACCTCAGTCCACAGCGTCTACAGGAACACTTGATTAGGAGTTGCAAAGTGACAGTTAAATGTCATGGCACAGCACAATCAGAAACTGATGCCTCCAAGGGTGTGCAGAGAAACCAACACACATATTAGGCGCGAGGAAGCCGTAATAACCACATCCATCTATCATTACCACATGCCTAACCTTAGCCCTTATTCCAACTATAACCTTATCTTCACATCTAGTGGGTGTGTACTGCCACGATAAGCCTCCCATTGCCTGACTGCTGCATTTTGCTTCCTTCTTCCTCCTCCCTTTCTTCAGTTAATAGCAACACAAGGTAGATTTTATACCTTGAAATAACAGCTAGGGGTGAAAGAACACATTTGTTGGCCACATTTGGAGGATCCTTCGACTTGGGACAGCCTCATCTCGCCGCTGTGACATAATTGGTCTACAAATCTAGCCTCCCTAGGATGCGGCCCCTGGATTGAGACATAGGTAACTTAGTGGGTAGCCATAAGAGGCAACCAGTTTGCCAATCTTAAAGAAAAATAAAAGACCTGGCGAGGTTGTTAGTGAATCATATCCTCTGCCTGTTTGCTTTGTCTTGTGCTGTTCTGCTCACTTGATGTTGGTATGTTTCAAGCGAGGTTGTTGACTCACTAGATAATCATCAGAAACCAGGTAGAGGTTTAGCTGGTTAGCCAAACAAACTGGGTTCTCTAGTGAATGTGCAAACGATCTCGAAAACTGTGTGAACATGAATGTGTAACTTAGATCAGGACACGTTTTCAAGACACAGCTTTCCAAATGACAGGTGCCCAAGTGTAGCTGAGAGCAGATCTTGCATTGGAACTTAAAAAATGTTTATACTGTGGCAAAACTTGTGTTGTGCACAATGCTGGAGCTTCTTCAACAGTGTGTGTATTTTACAAGAGCTCTGGTCGGCTTAGCACAAAAAGCATCATGTAAACACAACACTGCCTTTTTTCCAGCTATGTCAGAATCATTCTACCTGCTGAAATGCAGAAAATATTTAATACCTTAAGACTCTGCTGAAAAAAAACACTCTCAAAATAACCTCTTTCTCTTTCTGTCTGAGACGAGCTAAAGCAAACTCCAGATGCCCTCCCCCACACAGAGGGGGCCAAGTTAGGACTCACTGTCCTGAGCCAGATGATAGCTCGCCAACTGTTGGCCGTAAAGACACAATGTACTTCTCATCCTCCTCTCCTCGGAGTGAGCGGCTCGACAGGTCAATACAGCAAAAAAAAAAAAAAAAAAGGTCTGAATATTTACCCATTTCAAGCATATCTTATTAAATACACAGACGTTTAATGTGCTGCAGCCTCCTCGATGCTGTAGCTTGTTTTAAACAATACATATTCTAGTTGATAAACTGAAGGCACAAACAAGTGTGAGAGACCACAGGTTGATTTCCTCGTTTTAAAATGTGCGAGGAAGAGATGCCTGATGAGGAAGTTGAGGTCCTCTGTAACAATACAACACACCCACCTCTCCCTGTCACAAGACCCGACTTATTCATGACTGTGGGGGCTTGTGTGTGTGTGCGTGCAGGACTCATTTCTGCACTGAGAGCAGTGGTGGGATGTAAAAAAGTACATTTACTCTGCTGCTGTACAGTAATTACTTTCATGCATCTGTACTTTACTTAAGCTGACTTCTTTTTCGGATGCTTTTTACTTTTACTCCAGCATTGCTAATCAGCAAATACCTGTACTAAATAAGCTGCTAAATTTTTACAAAGCATGGCATTACATGTTCACATAGTGTTTTATATATACATGTATATATCAATAAAAAGCAGGGTATTGATCCCCTGATCCAGTCAGAGCAGGATGGTAACATTAGACCTTGCCTGCTGGAGCAGCAGCATCACTGCAGTAGAGACACATGAGTTCAGTAGAGGCTGAGACTAATAATGATGTAGTAGATCTATGCATTTGGAAATGGCTTCTCCATGCAAGTACTTTTAATATTTAAAGAATATATAAACCCATCATCAAGTAGAAAAGTCAATGTGCTGATTTTATTTTTACACAAGTAAATGTTTGTCTATTTATTTGTAGTTTTATGTAAGTGAAATATTTGAGTGCTTCCTCGACCACAGGCACAGAGGCTGACAGACATGGGCAGGGCACAGCAGGATTTTGGTATGGTGCCATGCAGGGACTGTGTTGAACAGGATGTGGCAGTTGCTCAGTGCAGAAACAGGTGTCTGTCAACGTGACTGCAGCCAGTGAATGACGATGAACAGTTGCCCTGAGAAGTTTGCACCTCTCCCTTATCTGCATGTGCACAGAAAAAAGGCTTTATTCAGGCTCATGCACTCAAAGATAAAATCTCCCAAACTTCTTGGTGTCTAGACCCCCCCCCCCCCCCGCCATCCCTCGTCCTCACATGGTGGCTCAGTCAGTCATTATCGGGACTCTGTGTGCTGCTGCAGCTCCTTGGCGTTTCGGTTCCTTGCAGAAGGAAATATGAGCCATGAGGACAGAGTAGAACTGTCCTCGAGACTGAGGAGGACAGGCGGGCTGGTTTGGAAGGTGCGTAAAACTGACGCGTGGCTATAAATATGTATATATATATATATATATATATATATATATTAATATTTAATTCCTAGACAACTTAGGGGGAGTCTTATTTACAGTTTATATATTTCCATACTGTTTTCATAGTGTTTATAGATAAAGTAAATATAGTGGTGGGTTGTAACAAAGTACATGTTCTTCGTTACTGCACTTGAGTTGATTTATTTTCACTATTTACCCAACTACACGTATAAGTATATATCTGTACTTTCTGTGGTACTTTTACTTGAGTACATTTTGTTTATTTATTTGCAGTTTTACTGAAGTTCTTCCTCCACCATAGAATGCATAATGTTGAATTATGCATAAATAAATCATATTTTTGTAAATAGTTCTGGTTTTGTGCACATGTCGACAATACGTGGCTGCACAGGCTCTCAGAATCTAAAACACTGGTTGCAGCATATTTTAAAATTCATGTAGTCTCTCTTTATCTTTGTGTGTGTGTTTGTTTGTTTGTTTGTTTGTTTGTTTGTGTGTTTTTGTATGTGTGTGTATATAATTTGAATGGATCGTTTCATGTTTTTGCTCCGTTAGGCTCCAGCTGTTATTTTTGGTGAGCGGTGTGAACAGATGTATCCGAGCACAACAACAGGTGCTCTCTGTCTGAAGGCCATGTTCTAAAACACTTAGTATAATTGAGTCAAAAGAAGATGGCTCATTTTTTATGTTTGCATGTATTCATGTCAGAATTTTCTCTTGGTTAATGGGATGATGCAGCAAATAACATACAGGAGGAGTATCAGAATATCAAAATACATTGTAAAATACTGGTATGTAAAGAGTGGCATATTTCCTGATGTGAAGTACGAAGTGGAATACAGTACACATTACATTATGAATTCATTTCCTTCCATCCATATGGAACTTAATGTTGACTTACTGGTGTTGGTGTTGTATACATTTAGTTGAATTAGTCTATATCATGTTTTGGAGCATTGAGCCATTTTATTGGCTTGCCCTCTGTGGAAGTTTAAATTAGTGAATGAAGAGCAGTATCTTAGTCATCAGTGAAGCTATGACCAAAAATTCAAGCAACACTAATTCAATGAATTCAATGACTGATCCTAAACAATCTTGATGATGCTATTTATAGCCTATACATTATGATGTGTCAAAATAATTTCCCTTTCATGTTTGTAATGAGACGAGTGAAATGACGGAACTAGTCTTTATGTGCTGCCTTGAATACAATATGTTGATGTTGGCAACTGCTGCTTCTGATAGAGAGATAGAAAAGGCTTTTATTGCCCACGTAGGATTAAATAGATTTATGACTATTCTGACTTTTATGGCTGAGCTCTACTTGTGTACTTAGCTAAATGCTTATTACACTTGATAGGACTCAGAAAAAGTCATAATGTTGCTGCTGCTCATTTTTTGTTGGACGCCAAGCACAACGATTACTGTGACTGCATCTTTGTGTGTTTGTTCTTACGAGGTACAAAAGGATTTTCATTTATTGTGTAGCTGCTGTTAAGGTTGTGTTACTGCAAGTACATGCACAATAGGACGAGTCTGAATCAGTTGAGTTTTGCCATTTGGTGATTTATCTTAAGACATGTTTTATATTATTAAAACAGTGTTTGCTTTAGATAATTTGTTTCTCTTACAATACATCATTTTGTGCTGTTCCTCACAGTGGCCTTCGGCGAGCAGGAGCTGTTGTCGGGGCTTGTTGACATGCGTTCCCCCTGAGCTCGACGACGCCTTCCCCGGTGGTGCGGTGACAGGATGCCGGTGCAGGCAGCCCAGTGGACAGAGTTCCTGTCCTGTCCCATCTGCTACAATGAGTTTGACAGCAGCGGCCACCAGCCCATCAGCCTGGGCTGCTCCCACACAGTGTGCAAGACCTGCCTGCACAAACTGCACCGCAAGGCCTGCCCCTTCGACCAGACACCCATCAGCACCGACATCGACCTGCTGCCGGTCAACTGTGCCCTGCTGCAGCTGGTCGGAGCTCAGGTGAGTCAGGGAGATTGATGGCGGGGTTGCACGAGGGTAAATGAGACAAACAGCTTAAACTCAAATGTTTGTTCTATCTCTTGTGTATCTGTGCCTCCTAGATCCCTGATATGCAGCCGGTGAGCCTGAGTGGTGCAGCAGAGGTGGAGCACTATGAGGTCTGCAGGGTGTGTGTAGAAGAGCTGGCTCTCTACCTAAAACCTATCAGCGGAGCAAAAGGTGTGCGTGTGGATGTTTGTGAAAGTGAATCAGACTCTTTGTTGAGCTGCCAGTGTAACTTGACATTTGTGCTTCTCACCCTTCTTATGTCACTGAAATCTTCTGTACTTTTATGGTACTGGAGGAAACTTCAGCTTTCTGCATAACCAGATAAGAAAGATTAAGTTTTACAGACCGGAGGTTTCTAGGATTCATCCTTCTTGGCTAAATACATGCTTTGGCAATTCACACAGAAGTTGTTGGGATGTAAGATGATGCTTTAAGGCTCAGCCCTTTCAAGTAGCAACCGTTTAATCCACCTACATAGCTGTTGAAACACACTTAGGTTTGCTGCTCGACTCCTGATGCTGTTCACTCGATCAAACTAAATCAAATTAAATGTTGAAAAACCAAAGTATTAGTTCTCATCGTGATGAAGCTCGACAGGCACACTGTTTTACAAATGGAGTTGTTACCCTCTGCAGGTGTTGCAACACTGAGTCCGAGCCTGCTCAGTCGGCCCATGCAGAGGAAGCTGGTGACCCTGGTGAACTGCCAGCTAGTGGAGGAGGAGGGCCGTGTGCGGGCGGTGCGGGCGGGCCGGTCGCTGGGGGAACGGACTGTGACCGAGCTCATCCTGCAGCACCAGAACCCCCAGCAGCTCTCTGCCAACCTGTGGGCGGCGGTGCGGGCGCGAGGATGTCAGTTCCTTGGACCTGGTGAGTGTGGATGACAAAAACAGGGTTATACACGAAGTTGTCTTGTTACTGTCATCAAGACTTCAAAGCTGTCTGCGCTAACTATGCAATACAGTGTTATCTTGCTTTCTTGTATGTATTATTTATTTATTTGAGCATGGATGATATCAGATTTGATTATTTGATATTCAGTCAATGAGTCATAAAATGCTCCTGTCAGCCCGCTGGATTTCATTGGTAGCGTTTCAGTCGTCTGGGCTCGTGTCCAGAACTTCTGATTGTTTAAATGGCCGGGGTAGAATCAATCTGACGGCTGGTGCTGGTACCCGGTGTCCTGTGATGATTACTCATAGGGCAGATTCTGACTGGGAAACTTGTTTCTCATCATGATCACAGAATGAGTTCGTTGAAAAGTCTGAGGACACCTAGCATCACAGTAGCCTTTGTTTGATAAGTGGAACAATGTTAAATGGCAAACTTGTTTGTGCTGAATTTGTTTTATCTGATTCCTCTCCATCGCTTCCTCTTCTTCCTTTTTCTCTGTGTTTCTTCCTCCCACCACCTTCTGTCCTTACATCCACCCTCTATCTCCTTCTCATCAGCTATGCAAGAAGATGCACTGAAGCTGGTTTTACTGGCTCTGGAGGACGGCTCGGCTCTGTCCAGGAAGGTGCTGGTTTTGTTTGTTGTCCAGAAGCTCGAGGCTCGGTTCCCCCAGGCCTCCAAAACCAGCATAGGCCACGTGGTGCAGCTGCTCTACAGGGCCTCCTGCTTCAAGGTACTGTGGAATGAGCACACACACACACACATCATGGACACACAACAGACCCACAAATGTGTGCACATACAAGAGCTGCATTATTGCACTGTCAGCAGCTCCATTCAAGAAAAACAAGAAGCTCATGTCAGACTGAAGACAAGGAACCTCAGTTTGCTAAAGTCCCAGGAACCCAAACCATAATAAATGACCTGATTAAATGAAGGGTGTTTAAATAGATCCTCATTTACCACCACATGTCTTGCCAAATAGATGAAGCATCAAATTGAGTTTTTTTTTCAATGCATCGCTTGTCAGCTGTAAATGTAATATTTTCCATGAAATAAGCAACCAAATTAAAATAAACAAACTTTAAGGTTTTTCTATAAATTAGTCAAAGTGTCTGAGTGAGCTTTGAAAACCCCAGTCTCACTTGTAGATTATTCTCCAGATTAACATTAAAGTGATGCTGCAACAAACAGTATATAAGTCACACTTCTAATACAGATATGGGCTCTGTGGATGTATCCTGTGTGTGTGTGTGTGTGTGTGTGTGTGTGTGTGTATTTCTGTGCCTGTTATCTGATGACAGACATCGCTGGTAGGGCAGAAATGCCAGCTATCTGCTCGTGATGTAACAGCAGTCTATATTTGCCTTGCCCCGCCCTGATGGACAGAGACAGACAGTGCAGAGATACAGAGGACGATAGCTGAAAGAGCAGGAGACCCGACAGAGCAGCAGCAGCGAGAGCTTGTATAATCATGAAATTTGATTCTGTTTGATTGATTGATTTATTTCCACGGTTGAGTGTGTTGGTGTCTTATGATGATTACTCATAGGGCAGATTCTGAGAAGGGGAGAATCCCTTTATCTGATCTGAGTTTGAGGTTGTTAGTCTGAAGACATCAAACAGACAAACCAGGAAAAAAACAATCTGCTATGTTCATTACAAAAACCCAAGTACCACACAGGAAGCATCGTAAGATTTATCAAATATTACAAGAATAAAGCTGTAATATTACAAGAATAAAGCCATAGTTGAATGTGTTTAAAGTAGTATATTACAGAATAAAGTTGTTATTTAAGTACAAAAAAGCCATTTTATTTTGAGAAAAAGAAATAAAATGAAATGAGCAGCAACGTTTTCCTCCTTCTGGATTCAAATTTTGAACCAATCTTTTAATAGTGCACAGACGTTACAACAATAGTCTTGCAATAAACCATTTACAAGCAGTCTGTGTGGCTCTATCTTAGAGACACAGTTTCTTGCGCAATCTTCTATTAATATTACAACTTTATTCTTGTAATATTACAACTTGATTCTCAAAAAACTCTTGTTTTGTGCCTGAGGGCAAACTTTGTGTTCAAAGTTGCTGTGCTTATCACAGTAACTGATGAAGTATAGCAAGGATGTACAAACATACATTATGCAGTAGTATGCAGTCTTGTATGGAATTATTTAAAGACAAAAAAATCGCAAGAGTAGAACTCAAAATTTTAGATGGCCTTTTACAATACATACAAGAGTGAGTGTTTGTGGTGATGTAAGATTTTGACTGACTGTCTTCTCCCCCTCCACCGTCTGTCCGCTCGTCCCTCTAAGGTGACTAAGCGTGATGAGGACTCTTCACTAATGCAGCTGAAGGAAGAGTTTCGCACATACGAGGCTCTCAGGAGGGAACACGATGCCCAGATTGTCCACATCGCCATGGAGGCGGGCCTGCGGATCTCACCTGAGCAGTGGTCGTCTCTACTGTACGGAGACCTGGTCCACAAGTCACATATGCAGTCCATCATTGACAAGGTATGGCTGTCCCACTGATGAATTCACTTTTGGAATTTTGAATGTTGCACGCCTCTTGGAGAAATAAATGCCTGAATTTTGATTCGTCTTCTATTCTCTTCTCTTTGTCCAGCTCCAGTCTCCAGAGTCGTTTGCAAAGAGCGTCCAGGAGCTGACAATCGTTCTGCAGAGAACAGGAGACCCGGCCAACCTCACGAGCCTTAGACTGCACCTCGAGCTACTGGCTGACATAGACCACAACCCAGGTACCCCACTTTGTTTTCACACCCTCTCAGAATACAGGGATTCATCCAGTTCCAAAGAATAATGAGATCGAGATGTGAAGAACACAGATGAGCTGTGGCACTCACATGAAAAATGCAATTAGAGTAAACAAAACAGACAATTAAAACCACGGATTGATCTCAGTGTCACACACTCATTAATCAAAACATTAAGCAGGGTGTTTTCATGGCGCTCACAGGTGTATTCTGTGGTTCCCTGCCAACCTCTGCTCTTATATAGTCATGAAGCATCCTGGTGCTTGTTGCATCAGACTGTTTCATTCTGCCTCATTGTTGTATCATCTGCATTAGCACAGAAAAGGTCATTTGTCTTTCATGTCTCTATTGTACACGTCATCCCTGCAGATGTTCTGTGTCCCCTCCAACACGTTTAGCATGTTTGGCCACACTGGTGTCGTGGATGTTGTCAGTATCACATTTGGAACAGAAATTAATGTTTCCTTTAGGAGAAATTGGAATATTTCCCTTAATTTTAATTCAAGTCAAACTACTAAGGGAAAAGTTTTAATTTGTTTATGACTAAATATCTGAAAAACTTATAGCAATCCATCACCATCATCTGTACTTATTTTTGATTGTCATAGCCTGCTAGCATGCTAAGCTAACATGTTAAACTCAAAGTTTGCACCTGCTAAACATTGAGTGTGTTAACGTTGTAAGTGATTCCACGTCAGCATCGACCAAAACCATCTTGATTGCCACCTGGTGCCTTGCTGCAGTGTCGGTCCCACCTCATCCATGTTAGTGGATGGGACATGGACCCATGAAGGACTAAAAAGTCAGAGTAAACATTAAATAGATTTTTCTAAAAGATGGTTTCTGTTATTTCAGGTAGTTCTTATCAAGTTGATACATAATCAAGTGCATTTTTTCCATTAGTTATTTCATGCTAAATAAATTGGCGTGAAATGTCATGATTGACAGCTGAGACTTATGACTGGCTCCAAATGACGTCAAAGGGAAAAGAAGGCGCTGCACCAAATTATGTACGCATAATTTTACTTTATATATGCCTGTCATTTTGATACAGGCAACACCACTAAGACCTCGTGATAAGAAGCTCCACTAAACAGATTGTTTGTTCATGTGTATGCAGACGCCCCAGCGCCATCATGGGAGGAGCTGGAAAGCGTGATGCTGGCTGTGAAGTTGGTGGTTCACGGACTGGTGGAGTTCATACAGAACTTCAGCAAGAAGAGCCACGACACTCCGCAGGTATGCTGACACGATGGGGTGAGATCGTAAGAGTTAGATATTTACATAATATTTGCAAGGTGAAAAAGTGCAGGATGGTAAAGATGGATGATCCTGGGAGGAGGAGTCGTGCTGCTGCTTCATCCAGACTCTGTGGAGGCCTGTCACCATGGAAGATAAATTGTTCAGGATGCAGCAGCACACTATGTTCCTCCAGGCTGGGTCGTCTGAGATAGTTATAGGACACAGAATTATCTTAAGCCACGAGCTTATAATGGTTTGCAGTAATTGTTGTGTGCGTTTATAAATTACCATTAATTATTTAAATGATCCAGCAGCATTAAAATAACTCTTAACAATCTGCAGATAACACATCTGTGAAGTCTGAGACTGGTCTCTAACTGTGCATGTAGTGTAGTGAAGGGAATAGAGGCTAAGCCAGCCTGTGTGTCAGTATGAACTACTTTCAAAAAGATTTTCTCATGACTAATCAGATCAAATAAATGTACATGCAGAATAAATGAAAGATTGTTAATTTCTATCAATCATCCTTTGCACGCTGTCGTGAAATCCTGAGCTACTTATCTTCAGGAGGAAAATATTAAGGATGAAATACCAATAAGAAAAATACCAATTTGCATATCCACCTCTTTCTCCATTCTAGAAAATATGTTGGAAGGTGGGTGACCATACCATGATGCTTTTGTGTTTCCGTGTTTTGAGCCCCTTTAATGGTTTACGCTGGTGGTTTGGAAAGGCAGCTCTGCCATGAATACTACATTTGTTTTCCATTGAATGTACCACAACATTGATTAATTTAAGTCTCAGGCATTCTTTATGATGTATCCAAGCTCTTCTTTTTTTTTTTGTCTGTCCGTCCCTGTTCGTGGGCTGTGACTTGTGACATTATTGTTTTTTCCTTTCATAGTGTCTCTGATATTTGTTTGACTTTAACATTTTATGATTTTTCCTTTTCAGCTCCTTGATGATATTCTTCTTGTATGTATATAATGTAAAGAATGCATACGGACTTGGTGTGCAACGACCTGAAGAGTTGCACGTTCATTTTCACCCCAGTACAGTCAAAAATGAAAAAGAGAATTAATTAGGGGTACGGTAATGGTAAGACTGATGCTTCACTTTACTTTTACCCTTAATGTATTGTATCTGTTTTGCAGCCTCAAGCCAACAGCAAGTACAAGACCAGCATGTGCCGGGACCTCCGTCAACAGGGTGGCTGTCCCCGGGGAACCAACTGTACATTCGCGCACACACAGGACGAACTGGAGAAGTGAGTGAGCCCGAAGAAACACTCAGTTTCACTGTATTCAAAAGAGAAATAACTCTATTCTATTAAAATTGACCGTATAACAGTACTAATATAATTTTAGACAGACGTCTGGTGGTCTAATTGTGTTATTTTGTGTTGTTATTCTTGTATGTACTGGCAGTACACAACCTCCCCCAGCCTCTGTTTTAATTACATTTTTATTAATCTGCTCATGTATTTATTTACAAGTGGCCCTCTGTGGCAATAAAACTGCAATAATAAGGCTAGACACACACACACATACACACACACCAACACACACACACAATGTTATCAGAGCTAATCCCTCCCCATTGTCATGATTATCCTTCATCTCCTCCACAGATTTAGATTGAGGAACAAGAAGAGCAACAGCGTGGGCCGCGCATTTCCGTTGGCGCCCGGGGTTATGGGTAAAACCTTCACCATGGAGGGCAGCATCCACGAAGACGTGTCCGCGGGAGTGGTAGAGGGGCTCAAAGGCACAGGGGACAATGCAACTACCCTGACAGACGGTGTTCCTGTCCTGACTCACCCACAGCTTATCACCAGAGGGGCTGACATGATTGAGGAAATGAAGAGGGTGGTGCCAAATGGAACCAGTGGGGCGAACGGGTGCAACGGGCTACCTGGTACCAACAGAACCATGTCGGGTGCAATGGAACAGTAAGATTTTTCTTTATGTATTTAATGATGCTTGTAGGTCTGCTTTTGTTGGCATACAACTCATGAACAGCCCAATATTATTACTAATCAGGTACTAAAAATATGTATAACATTATTATTATAGTATTTACATTTGAAATCATCTGGTAAAATCTACATTTACACTTCACACAAGACGGATATTTGTATATGACTTTGGGAGAGAAATGATTCTTCACAATCATTCATTTATTTCGGGAAGGTCTGACTTTTGTTACAAATCTCATTGTGTTAATTTTTCCTCTTTTTATTGACGTTCTGTCACTTAGGAAGCCCATCTCTCCTCCCAGGACTCCAGTCAGCCACTCAGCATCATCTCCCTTGACCACAGTCGTGCGGGGTGACGGTGGTGCTCCGATGCCCAAACACGGTCAGTTCATGCTGCGTGCGCCACATCCTTCACAGGCGACAGAGCTGTACTATCAGGAGCCCCACTCTGCTTATGACACGGGCCATTATCAACAAACCTGTGAGTCCAGTTTTCAAATAGTAGTTTGAATTTAAACATTTGAATGGCAAAAGTCAAATAAATGTGTTTTCTTCTCTGTGTCTTCTCTCCAGCAGGTTCTTATTACCCATCTACTCTACATCATCCTCACAAACCCTGCATGGCTCGCTTCCTCAGGTCGTCCAATGTCCCAGAATCCCCTCTGCCTCCCTCCATTGGCCCTCCACCGACTTCGTACCACAGTGACCCTCAAACGCCTCACCCACCCTCCTCCTCTTCCTCGGGGTACCCACCACACCCACCCAGAGATCGGATGGGCCCCGCCTTCCATCCCCACCCGGGGCAGCCTCAGTATGGGCCTCTGGCTCCTGCTCATGGGGTTTACGCTCCGCTCTACGACAGCAGGAGAGTATGGAGGCCTCAGGTGAGCCTGCTGTTATCACCTTTCTCCCCTGTCAGTTTGTTTGTTGGGTGGTTGGTTTGATAGTTTGCTGTATTATTCAAAAACCACAGGACTGATTATCACGGGTGAATCCAGGAATTTTATCATTGTGATTTCACTGATTTGTGTATATGTGTGTGAATATTGTCTAACATTGAAAACTGCCACTGCAGCTGTACCACAGAGAGGACGCCAGGAGTAACTCGCTGCCTCCAGAGGTGCTGCATTCCTCCGTCTACCAGCCTCCACTCAGGGAGAGATTCAACTCTCTAGACAGCAACTACTGCTCTGGAGCGGACCACCGCACAGGGCTTCACAGGGTGAGGGAAAGTAATGCACGTCTTACACCATGGCTAATACTGTTCTAATGTTCTAAATGTCGAGAAACATCTATCGAGAAACATCGAACATATCCAGTGAAGCCATCTGTGTTAATTCTGTTTTGATTGCTGAGGTCTGTGTTACACTGAACACATTTATTGCTGCATTCTTTTCAGCATAATTTCCTTTTACTTCGTTTTCTCTCTTTTACACCCACTTCATCTCACCTCTACCTTTCCTGCGATCCACAGAGCTGCAGTATGTAGCTTCAGCCTCCTCTGTAGTCCACCCACTCTTCATCCAAATATGTCTCTGCTTCCCCCACTCACTTCTCTCATCGCCATATCGCAAAACAAGTATGGCTACTACCAATCAATAAAAGTAAATTTTACCAACAGTTATATAGAGACTAATAACACCATCAACACATTACATTTATGGGCAATGATTCCTCAAAATAATATTTTTAAATTAATTTAATGGTAATAATATTATACAATATATAAACAACCCAATATTAAAAAGCTTCTCCTGAAAATATTCTGTATTTAGACCAAATAAAAATGCATTATCAAAGAACAATTCATGGCGATTTGCAATGAGACTTGAATGGTCAAAATAATTAATATTATATAACTTTATTTATAGACCCTAAACAAAACATTAAATAGAAGATGAAATAGGACAATCAGAGAGCCTCATAAATAATAGAAATTCCTTTACAACACAACATAAAAACTTAGTAGTTGTCATTTATTTTTGTATGTTCCAGATGGCATCATCAATTGTCACTCATCATATACGTGTAATGTCATTGTGTAATGGTCAGTTCTCTTTTCTCTTCCCCACTGTTTCTCTCTTTGTCAGGATTACAGTCGTGTTCCTCTGGGCTACGAGGATCTGTTCAGGAGGAAGCAGGAACAGTGGGCGCATCATCACCACCATCACAACACCAACAGACCCTCCCAGTCCTCCCCCATCTTCACCATCGACTTTGGAAATGAGGTAGAGAGCAGCACACACACAAACACACACAGCATTGTTGAGAGGTTTCATAGGCACGACGATAAGATTCAGATTCCACCATGACCGCGTTATTAAAAAGAGCGATTCATCTCTTTTGCCTTTTACCATTTCTTAAATTTGTCGCATTTATTTCCTATCCCTAAAGCTTGTATTTCGACTGTGTCCAATGCTATTTAGGTGGGAGATAGTTGCCTAGCAACTGTGGTGGAAGATATCATAGCAATGCACAGTGGTGGCGTTCGTGCATGTGTGGGTGTGTGTGTGTGAGAGAGAGAAAATGGGAGCAAGCGAGAGGAGCGACTTTTAACAAGCAGTGACTCAGGCTTTCAGCTGAGTAAAGCTTTGTTTTACACAAAGTCAGATATGTTTTTTCTGAAGATAACCTCTTTGAAAATGAAGCTGTCATCAATGAAAGCACGAGGACAAACTAAGTGATTGTTTACCTGTCGCAGTTTGATGCCTCTGCAACAAACAATCAACTAAACCATCAGTAAAAAGACGGTTTCTTTTTCTATGTAATGATGTCCGGAGCAAAGTGGCAGCATGTCAGCACTGGTAGTGACAGTATAAATCCAAATTAGAAACCAAGACTGGCACATGAGGGGGTGTAAACTTTCCTTTAACTGCCAGAAAACACATTTACTCATTTAGTTACTGATAACATTGTCCATCCACGTATTCTTCGTCTGTACCTGCTACCTGCTTGGTTGCGTTTGTGTCTGTGTGTTGACAGTGTGGAAATTGTGGCCACCAACAAAACCATGCACGGACACTGAGACGCATACAAATCTGTTTCATTCATTGTGAAACTGTAGCAGGTCAGAGACGTCAGCTGAGTAGGCGGTCCTTTATGTGTGGCACACGACATGTTCACACAGTGGAAAGGTTCGGGTGACATGTTCCTCAGCTATTACTGTACAGTTATGAATAATACAGAGCTGGAATTAAGAGAAACATTTGCAAACTTTCCCAAAACACAGCTCCATCCGTTGTCTTCTCAAATCAAATGCTTAGCTGGAAGTCACTGTTGGCAAATGACGTGGCACATTTTCCTCAGATAGGCTGAGGCAGTTGAACAATTAATAATAGTGACTAAAATAATCCATTTCATTCATATAGAACTTTTCAAGCACTAAGTGTTTTCCAGGTGAAAAAAGAATAAGAATTTAAATCAGAAACCCATGAAACCTCCCTTTTATTAAAAACAAAGTCTGGAACATGACAGAATAAACATCAAACAGCACAGTCAGTCCATAAATGTGAAATATGTGCAAGTTCAATATTGTTAGAAATAAATAAAAAAGACCCCAAGACAGAGGAAGCAAGTAATAGCAAGTAGAGTAACATGTCTCCTGATCATTTATAAATCTCTCTCTCTTTCTTTCAGCATTTGGAGAACAGCGGAGGTCAGTGTGTCGGATGCAGGTTCAGAGGAGAGGAAAGCTTAGCGCACTACTCCCCGTGGTCCTGTGGCCCCATCGGCCCCTGCCTCAGCCCCTTTGAGCCTGAAACACTGACGCACGCCTCAGCTCACTCCTGCTCGGAGCACCAGGTGCGACACTTCAAACTCACCCATTACTTATGTATCAGTGTATGTATGTGTATGTCTCTTTGTGACAGCTCCCATGTTGTTCTCATGCAGGAGTTGGACGCTAACGGAGGCAGAGGCGGCGGAGGTAGCGGCAGCAGTGTCGGGAAGCGGTGGCTGCATTCGTTGGATCACTACCGGCGCTTAAAAGACGAGGATCCCATCATTCCCTTCAGCGAGGGGCCCATCATCTCCAAGTGGGGTGCCATATCCAGGGCGTCACGCACAGGCTACCACACCACCGACCCGGTTCAAGCCACGGCCTGCCAGAGAAGCTCCAGCACCACACCCATCAACTTTAAAGGTACAGAGAGGTGAAAGGAAAGAGAGAAGAAAGTAGATCATTTCATAAATCACTTTCATTGTAGGTGTCTGGCATGAAGTCTTTTATAATTTATCTTTCACCACAGTAACATTTTATATATACTATATCCTTACAGTTTATATGAAGGTTGCTTTATTCCTCCGTCTATCACAGATTATAACCCACACTTGGATCACAGTGACTACAGATGGGGCTCCAGAGGATCAGACTCTTCCAGCCACTCCAGTTTCCTCGAAAGGTATGAAACATTTTTAACCTCTGCCAAGTTTTCGCTGAGTCTGTTTGCTGGTTTATTCATTTGTTAGCCAGATTACGCAAAACTAGAGGACCTGGGTCAGAGAAGAATCCATTCAATTCTGGTGCAGATACAAATTAATACAGGATTTATTATATTGTTTGCTTTGTGGAGCACTGCAACATACAGCATCTTATCAATATTTTCAGGGAATAATTCAGAGATCTTGATTTTTTCATGTCCACTATTTAGGACAATGGATCATGACAAGCAAATAACTTTAAATCCATTCGTAGCGGTTTATTTTTCTATACGTCTTATATATTGCTGATCTGTACAAACTCATATTGAATATTAAAATCAACCACATATTATCAAATATTGAGAGGCATGTACAGAAGTTAATATCTAATTGTTCTTCGCTCAGTTGCTCCCCCTCCTCCTCGCTCTTCCCTCCTCTGTCTCATTGTGCAGCAGTCATTTCCTCTCAGTGGTCAGACTAAAAATAGAGCAGCTGGCTGCTTGGTGAAAACACACTGGGCAGCCAGGAAAAGGAGTCAGGAAAGCCCTCTGCATGGATCTGGCCTCTCATGCACTGTTAACATGTTTTCCAATGTACTGACATTGATTTTAACCAGCATTGTTGTTGACACTACTTGTCCAGCTATGCGGCATCGTAACCATGTTGTTTAATCTAATTTTTATTTTCCCCTTTTTTATGTTGAAACTGCATTTTCTGTCACATATGCTGCTTTGCACTTTTAAGAATTAGAATGATTCAGTTTGTTTGTTTATGTGTTTTCAGTGAGCAGCTTTGTGCATCAGAGCTTCACGGCCGGCGAACCTCGATAAGCAGTGGAGAGAGAATCGTGAGCTGTAATCTACAAGCGCATCAGGCCGTCTACAGCCAGGAACGGGAGCGAGCCGAGAGCGAGCCGGACCCGGGCCGAGACATTGAGCTGGAACTGTGCGCTCTGGACATGGAGGATTCAGACCCCCAGGAGAGCAAGTCTCAGGTTGGTGTGATGGAATGTATCTTCAGGGATTTGAACATATTGGATTGTAAACATAATCCAATTCAAGTACAAGCAAACCTTCCTCATCTTCCTGTTCTATCATCTGTTCTCCCAGGAGTCTTTAGACCTGATTACTCCAACATCTCAAGATGCTTCCCACCTGCTCCCGCCTCCCTGCTCCTCTCCCCTCCTCTCATCCCCTGTGAAGGAACACCCCCGAACAGAGGGTACTTTGACAGAGAAGATGGACGCTCACCTGCTGAAAAAGATGGCCTTCAGGTGAATTACCATGGCAACCACTGTTTCACGGGGTCTCCCTCACTCTCAGTTGTTTTTGACTTGATTGACATCGTAATGTTTTGCACAGAAGCTTTTCACTTAGTTTCGTCCAACTTTTCCTTCCTCTTTTCCAGAAAGTCTCTGTCTCCAGGCGGGTTGGTCTCAAGGGGTCTTGGCGTCGGCAAGCTCGTGCTGCGAACCGGACCCTCTCGACTGGGAGACACTTCCACCGCTTCCACAGAGATGCTTCTGAATGGAAGCTAAAGGGATGCAACGTCAGACAGTGTGACACGTACTACGTTGGCGCTGAGCTGCCAGCGCACAAACTGATCCTGTTTGAAGGCAGTACCATTGAATTCCAGCCTTCATATATGTAAATCATATGCCTAAATAAAACCTGACAGATAGAGCTCAGCAGTCTGTGCTGCACACAGAACCCGCGAGGCTCCAGAGAAAACCCACAGTCCTGCCTGTTAAGTGGTCATTTTTACCACAGAGAATTTAGTGAAATCACTGTTAATGATTCATAAGGTCCACGATCAGTTCACCCTCACAGATGCTGAACTTGTCCCTGTTTGAGGTTAAACACTGGAGATCTCACAGAATCTTTTCTCCTTTATTGAGGTTTACACAATAATCCAGTTGTCGGTCAAAGACGATTTTCTTGAGGCCACTTTTTCAGTTTACTTTAAGATTTCTGAAAAAACACTGGTTTATTATTAAACCCGAGATAAATCTCCAAGCAAAATATTATACAAACTTGGCATTATTCATCCCTCTTTGTGGACTAGTGGATATCTAACACATTTTCTCCATGTCTCGTTACATGTTAATGAATTTGTTTATGCCGCTGGTTTCGTTTGAAGGCTTTGTTGTGTTGCTGCGTAACACATGAACAAAAGTATTTCCTGAAAAATAGAGATAAGCGCAATAATGCTGAGAACAAAACTGGATAGGCCGCTCAAACCCTCCAATAAAATAGAAGGAAAAAACTGCAGACTACAGAGGTCTCCACTGTGGCGACAGTGAAACGAGCCTCTGTATTTTATGAGTCATATGATCTTTTAAATGTTGACCTCCGAATTCCCTTGACTGTCACGAGATCACAGAGCACAACGACACAGTCATAAAGAGAATTTGTTAATGATCATGATCCCTGAAAGTCACGAGGGAGCAACAAAGTAAAGATGATCTTTTTTTATATCCCTTATTTATTAACCCCTTAAAATATTCCCTTAGTCCACTTGTGTTGCGTAACTTAAGAACTCAAAGCAATTCTTGTTTTGATGGAGCTGTATTTTGTCTAATTTAGTGGATTTCTCTGAACGACACATTAACTCACAATCAAACTCTCTCACGCACACATGAAATACATGTGTGCTCACACTGAACACACATGCACACACATACATGCAATACAGTGGCCTTCCTGTCGTTGGTGTTGTATAAAACTCAACACTGGGCTCTCCATATTCTCCTTTCAGAGGCGTGGTCTCAGAAAATGAACAATGGACATCACATTTCTATTTGCCCACAGCTTATTTTGTCCCTTCACATTCACACACTTAAAATATTCAAAGGTCCTGCATGATTTTTCCAACGTGAGAGACGCCATTTCATTTTGCATTTCTTCATGGAGTTTTTGTTTTCTTTTATTTCACACGTTGCTAACTTCCGTGAAGTTGTCCGATCTTTGTTACTGTTGTTTGTTATGTTTGAATTCTCGTGTTCCTCTGTGTTCGCTCGTCATCAGATGTGCACCTTAAACCACCAAAGTCTAGTTCACTGTAACATTGTGCGGTATGGGGGATTTCCATACAGACCAGCCTTGCCTCGCTCCCCTTTTTTATAAATATGAGGCGTCTTGTTGCATTAACCCATCTTATATATTTATATACAGGATTCATGGACTGGAGACTCCACTGAGTTTGTTTACACCTCTTCTAAATCTTATGAGATTTGTCTAGAAACGAATCTCTGAATCTTCCACGTTCACTCTTCGATTTCCTCCCACCTCAGCTTCTGTACCTTCTCAAAATTCATCATGAGAGGCAAAGCCCTTCACGTTATATCTTAAATCCAGTTTTAGAGGATGGCAGAATGGCTGTACACATGAGGGAAGGTTTTGTGACCTTTGGGGAAGGTGTCTGTCTTTCTCCCGCCTGACTGCTGAGACAAGCGAGTAAAGAAAGAATGAAACCGAACGATTCAGTCTGACTTGATGTGAGGATGCTGCTGTGTTCATTTCTGACAGTAAAAAGGCGAGAGCTGCTGTGGGGATTCAGCCGCTCCCATCCATAAAGATTAGCCTCAGCTACACTTTCGCTCTGCATCTGTTTACAATTTCACCTTTGAGGTCATGTAAGTGCCATGTTATGTACAGTATAGTACAGTACAATCAATCCCTGCAATCTCTCCTTTTGCTTTTCGTATTGCTTGGCTGTGGTGAGGAGGGGGGAGAGGACGAGTCAAGTTGAAGAATGATTGGTACTCCTCTCGCAGTTCCGATTTGCTCCATTAGAGGAGGCCACATCCTCGTCTGTGTGAGTCGCTCAGGGAAGACTTCAGTTACTCAGCTCGTAGTTTGGCTTTTTTCTTATATTCATCACTTTAGATATTCAGTGTACAGGTATTCAGCGACGGATCCTTTCGCCCCGAAGAGTATATGGGTTAAAGTGTTACCGCTGATAATATTGTTTGCCAGTGTTTGCTTTTGCCTCTTGGTATCAATATTGGCTTTGCTATACTCGCTCTCTGGGACAGGGCTGGGCACTGCTCTGTGTAAAAAAACAGCATTGTGAGTATTGGTGATACTCAATGTTTCCTGCTGTAGTGGCTATAACTGCACTGCACTGATCTCCACCCCATCACTGCCAACAGGTGCACTCTGCCAGGGAGTGTCACCAACCCCCACTTTCCTTTTTTACCCCGTCCCTGCATCCGGCCTCATGCATGCGATGTAGTCCCTCTTGTGATGGCGGAGGAGTACTGATGATTCTGTAGTTGTGATACAACACACCCAGCGCTGTAAGAATTCTGCACATGCCCACTGTGTGGCCACGTCAAGTGCTGAAGTTTGCTTGCAGCATTTTACTCGTTTGCTCATGAAAATGAATTATTGTTTAATAGAGATTATATTGTTATTACTATGACTATTGTTATTACCACATTTGGTTGTTGTTGTGGTATTTCTTTCTTTCCTTTTTAGTATATTCTAAGTCTGCTTCTTTGTTTTGGATATTGAGAATTTGCTAAAAAAAAAGTATGAAATTTTTTATTAGACAAGAAAGTCTCATCAATCTATATTATATGGAGAAAAAGTAAAAAGCTTGTTTGTTGATTGTGAAACTTATGATGAACTGATGTTTTCTGACTATTCATGTCTGTATTAGACATTTTATTTGCAAATCTATTGTTCGATTGAAATGTAAATGAACTATTAAGAGATGGTACACATCTGTCATTGTATACAGTCTGGCACCATCATTAGATGGACTGATATAGTATAGACGCTCATTTATACAATCTGTGATAATCATCTATATTTAAATGTTTAAATCATTGGGGCAGCTGTGTAATGTTTCAGAATGAGGAAAATAAAAATCCTTAAAGAGACAGCATATCTAAAATGTCCCCATAATGAATAATACTGTTACGTATTCCATTTATTTCCTTGGAAATATCACATTGTGAAAGGTTTCCCTTTTACTTAACTGTACGGTAATGCAGGACTGGAGTAGGTCTAACCTATGGTGATGACGATTTATTGTATGTGTTATTGACGATTTATGAAACTGTTTGAGTATCGTTTGACTGACTGATTCTTCTGTGCATTTTCTGGCTCCTTCACTTGTATTACACTGACGTATACAGACAGCTTGGCCGAGCAGCGTTCTGCTTCTCTGTTGCACTGAGAGATGGATTTACAAAAAGCAGGATTTTTGGCACATGGAATTTGCATGCTACAATAAACCGAGAACAAATAACGCCTGTTGGCTCTTGTCATCATTTGTGTATCGCAGTATCCTCTTGTGCCTGTGAAAGGTCACTGTGAGGACTTGACTCCGGACACTAACTGCAGAGACACACAAACTCTCAGCAAGTGATGTTAACGAAAGAGGCTGCTGCGTCACTCATCAACTTTATTCTGCATGGCCACATTTTCTCTAGGCTCTTGCTGAATTAAATCTGATCAGGAAAGAGTTAAAAGAACACAAGGGGGCGATAAAAAACCCAAATCTCATTGGAATTGTTTGAGTGGAGACTGCATGTTAAGTCTTCATAGTCATATGAACTATAAACTGTTCTTCAGAAGTGCATTTACACACAAGTAGCTGTTTGAGTTTGTGTGTAACTCTTAAAGGCTTTTTAAAAGAAAATATTTAAAACAGTTAAAAATAAATTGCACAATTGTGTTACCTGGTCCAACTGTGAGGAAACAACAAGCCCCGACAGGCTGTGCAGGAAGGACCAACAGGACTGAAGCACAATGAGATTAGTGGGTGTGTTTGTTATGACCGAACGCTGTGGTTTGGGGATTTAAAGGTGTAGAGAGTCAGCCCCTGTGACTTTTCTGCTTTACAATAAGTGGCCTACCACTAACCAGGGAATTATGTGGGCTTACATTAGATTAACGTGAGGGTTAACTTCAAAAGCAAAGTGTGTCCTGTGTATTAGGTTGCAGGGAAACATTTAAAGAAAACAAAGGGAAGGAAATAATGCAAGAAGATTAATGAAATTATTGGATAATACAAGCATTCATCTTATTGTCAATGCAAGCAGTGACAAAACAATTCATAAAGATGCAGCATTTCTTCTTCAACAACAATATATTGAGAGTTGGTCTTATCCTCCATGATATCTATCTATCTATCTATCTATCTATCTATCTATCTATCTATCTATCTATCTATCTATCTATCTATCTATCTATCTGTCTGTCTGTCTGTTTGTCTATCCATCCATCCATCCATCCATCAACCTACCTACCTACCTACCCATCCATCCATCTATCTATCTATCTATCTATCTATCTATCTATTTATCTATCTATCTATCTATCTATCTATCTATCTATCTATCTATCTAGCTATCTATCTAGCTATCTATCTATCTGTCTGTCTGTTTGTCTACCCATCCATCCATCCATCAACCTACCTACCTACCTACCTACCCATCCATCCATCCATCTATCTATCTATCTATCTATCTATCTATCAATCTATCTATCTATCTATCTATCCCTCTCTCCATCTCTCCATCTCTCTCTCCACCACCTCCTCCTCCTCTCTCTCTGACAGGCGCATGCGCAGTGCGGCTGTGAGCGGGTAGTGTTTACAGCTCTGCTGCTGGATGCAGTTGCAGCTGATGTTACTGGGAGAGAACAATGTTGTGCCAGGCGCCGTTGGAGTAAACACAGCAGTGGGTTTAAAGGTAAGCTGTCGTGCTCGTTCGTGTGAGTCCACCCTCAAAGTTAAACCCTGCTGTGTCTCCTGTTCTGAGGAAACGTGTGTGTGTGTTTGCTGGCTGCAGGGTAGCATGGCTAGCATACGTTAGCTAACCCGCTACACACAGTAATGGCCTCTCATCTGCGCTCTCCAGAGAGGAGCAGTCAGCGGGTTCATTTTGCCACATTCACTCCAACACTTTTACACAACAGCTCCCGCTACCTGCGTTGCAGTGAGGCGACACTTCGGCTGAACGGTCACTGTGGAGCTAAACCTTTCCACCGACTGTGAATCGATGAGTAGCCGTGTAAGCTAACGCTGGGCAGGTTGGAGAAGCTAGCTGAGGCTGTCATTTAACTGCAGAGCTAGCTTCATTAATCCCTCTTTAGCATCGTGGAGAAGATGCTGTTTGTCTTTGGACGAGTTATTAATGAAACTGTGAGCTTTGAGAAGCACTCAGGCCCCATGAGGCTGCACACGCTGCTTCAACATGGAGCAGGTTTACTTGCATCCAGATTAAGTGCTGCCCAGGAATCCAATTAAAGTGTGTGCTACCGTTTATCTTCTTTCTTTCTTATAAGTGACTGTATGGTGATGACCTGTGGTTGTGATAGTTATGGTGAAGGTTTTCTCTTTGTTTCTTGCCCTGGTTCATGTGTCACTGTTGTTGTTTGCTGGAAAGTGACAGGTGGATGTGCTCTGTTTTTGTTTTTCACGTGTCTGTACAGGCTGAAATTACTGATTATGTCACTGCAAGCTACTATTATTCTTCATAGCATATTGACTCAGTCAGTAATAATTTACAACACACCGATGATCTCATCTGCCATTCTGTCCCCTGTGTCGTACTAAAGGTGATTTCACCATAAACACTGGATCCTTTAAATATACGTGATGAAGACAATCATGAATTCAGATGAAATTAATCAGCACATTTAGCTTGGATTGTTATAACAAGACAGAATGAAAAGAAGTCATTGTATTCTTTGTGTTAAAATGTGAAGTAGTTAAACTCATTCAACTTTTGACTGAACCTTTATTAGGTTCATGACACGATACACATTTAATCCACACAGACTCTGAGTCTCTACTTGGGTTTCTTGACCGTCAAGATATGAGAGTTGTCTGCCGTGAAGCGTTGCCTGATTTATCTTGGTCAATAACCTCCAATTAATAATACTCACAACGACACCTAAAATCAGTGCTATAAACTACCTGTATAATTATATATAGGTTAATTGTGTTTTGTTAACACCATATTTTCTTGAAAACTTTATGCCCATAAACTTAGTTCATTAAATATTTCAATGATATGTTATAATATGTGTGTGTTAACACTGCACAGCTTTGTCAAAACTGGTGTTTATTACAAACAAAACATTTGTAGACTTATAATCTATATCTGTCTCATTTTTTTATATCGTAAAACATTTAGTTGCATCAGCATACTGTCTCAAGGTTAATGCCCAAAACTGTTGTTACCATCAAGAATAGGATTGTTGAAGCCTGTAGTTTTTTTTCCTTGTTGATTTTGAGCTGTTCTCAACAACAGACAACTTGCCTGGTAACTGGCAAATGTGCCAACTGTCACTTCAGTTGACTCAGCTCTTTGTTCCTGCTTTGTTTCCTGATCCACAAGTATTGCAGTAAATCATTATCATCAGGTCATAGACAGTTGCACATGTACGCATGAACAAGAAACAGAGCAGTCAGATTTGTCCGTATACAAATATTTGCTGTATTAACAAGAATGAATAAAGAGTGTGCAAAAGGATCAAAATCTCATATCCAGAGATCAATACTTGTCTTTACTTGTTACTCTTTAGTCTTACGTTTCTGAATCCAGATGTAAGCAGCAGCTGTGATCTCCTCTTATCTTAGTGATTCTTTGCCATATGTTGTGCTGCTGGCAAAAGCCTCTTGTAGTGTTTGAGCCTGAGGTATTTCTTTGAGCACTGGAGTTTACTTTTGTGTGAGTTTAAAAACTGTAGTGGAGGCCGGTCTGCGGCATAATATGCAAAATATGGATTCTTAGACATTTTAAACCGAAACCAAACCGAGTCCACGGCTGGTCGGATTCCTTCTGTTCAGAATTACACGCTTCTGTGACACATTCATTCTCGTCCATGTTTGTTTGTGGTGCTTCCACACAAATTTCCTGTTTGCAGCTGTGTTGTGTGGAAGAATACAAAGCTGTGTCTGCATGATGAAAAATAAAGCATAATGGGATAGAGCATAATACAATAGATGTTCTTCTATTGTTAGATAATGTCACATCCCACAACACTCGGGGCTTTTTCAAATATATTTTCTAATACGTATAAGACAGTATACGTATGAGATTATTTAAACATTTCCATTGATTCCAGTATTATACCATTGTACATACACTTTCTTCAACATTGGTCTCAGTCCAAATGCTGGTGCATGACACATTGCGTCTTTCAGGCATACACCTTGAGAAAGTTGAGCTTACACATATTTTCCTAGTGTGTTTCCTTGTATCCCTGCTGCTAGAGCTTGGCCTGAAACAGATTTTAAAGTGAAGCCTGAATGTTCTGAAATCCTGACTACACCCCTCAGATGCACCTGTTATTTGCAGAGCTGGTGGAGACTGAATGGCGGCGGAGTTGGCATCAACTGTAGTGGATTAGTGTTTCCTTCATCCAGTTGCTGTAGCTGAGATGAAAGCAGAGTATGTAGGGTTGAAAGCAAAGGAAATACACTTCATAGCTGAGAGTGACACAGGAGGTTAACAAATTCGGGAATCTGGAAAATCTGTAGAACTTCTTCCTCAATTATTATTGACTCAACATGAATCACAGTAAAGTTTTAAAACATCCACAGAGGAAATATTTCAACATTTCATCAATTGGTACAGACCTATTACATCTACAACGACATTTAAATTCATTTATCTTATTGTATTAAACAAGAATTGCTAAACATTTCACATTCTCAGTCATCACCCCCAGGAGGACTATAACTTGAGTTGTATAACATAATAACTGTATAAATATTTAATGGAATTCAGATTAAGCTATTATTGTTGTTAGTTAATATATATTCCAATTTTTCGGATGAACCTGTTTATTAAAAAAAACATTATCCCCAGTTCTTAGGCCTTATTGATTGGAGAAATAAAAGTAAATCATTGATTACACCCTTCAATAATGTGAAATATCAATAAATTACAATTGTGGTCAGCATTCTGAGAGTTAATTAATACATCTGTTGTATTTATTTCCCAGAATATACATAAAATGCTTGTGTAGTAAACTTACCCTTTCATGTAATCTTATATAAGGGACACTTGCTGCTTTCACTTCTATTGTTTAAAGGCCCAACACCCTTAACAACTATTTGTTGTAAAGGATCACACATTCACTTGCGAACAGGTGTCAAGTTTCCCTTATGAGCCACATAGTTCTATTCTTCATAACCCACTGCTATGTGAATGTTTATGAATTGCCACATTGCATATTGTGCAACTCAGTATCTCACAGAAGATTTTTTTTCTAGCCACTTTTTTATGTCCGAGTTAAAGGCAGGTCTGTCCTCACGTCATGTGAGATTGTTTTGTTGTTGAGTGCAGGGACATGCAATGGTTTCATTCCTTGATAGTCAAATGAGAGCCTGTGCTCTGCTGTCAGCCTCAACTGAAATGATAATAAGCTGCTGTCCGTGTGTTTTTATGTGTTTCCTTGATTCTTACGTAAAGACTCAATCATTCAGAGCTGCTCTTTCATTTCTTTTCTTTCTCTTTCCCTCTGTACCTTGTGAATGACTATGTGGTTATTCAGCTTTTCTGTCGTTCTTTCTGTCCCATCCTTTCTCTGGGGTGTCTCTGCCTGGCTGAAATCATTGCTGTGAGGCGCGTCGAAAGGGACTGTGTTGCAAGCCTGAATGCTCTTTAGCTGTGTCTGGCTGTGTCTTCCTCTCCCTTGTGAGGTGCACGCAGCGCCCAGCTGGCAGCTCAGAACAGGCCATTCAGCTGGAGAGTGGTAGGGAGTAAAAAAAATAGTCAGGCGTAGGTTTCCAGTGTGCACGCACGGCTTTACACATGGATTGGTATAAGATATTCTGTGCGTCTGTTTTTGTCCCGACTGCTTTTATCACTTTGTGTGTCAACAGTTAAGTTTTTAAAACTCTTAACTCACCGCAGCTTGGATTGTTTATATCTATCTGTCTGTTTGTGGGCAGATTTTATCACCATCATAATTGTGCCAGATGCAGTCCTGGAACTTACAGTTATATAATTGATAAAAATAAATGCAGAGTGTGAGGAAGCATGTGGTAAGATAGGATTGGAGAGGATAAGATAAAATATCATAAGATAATAATTAGTATTTATCCTACTGAGTACTCATCTATTAATGTACGCATGTAGTTAAGGTTGTGATGTTGGACGGAAACAGCTACAAGAGGTGTGAGAGTCTGTGCATATCATCAAGCTACATCTGATTTTGGAAGAATAAGTAGACTGGCACTGGGGCTAAATCAATCTTGAAACTTTTGACATCCCAATAGGCTTAAGGACAATATTCAGATTGCATAAGCTGCAACTTTTTTGGTATGTGACATGTTACACACCATTATACCACTCTACACACTCTGCACCAACGACTGCCCCAGCCCCTCACCCATCACCACATACTCCAAATACTCTGATGACACTGCCATTCTGGGATTACTCAATGACAATAACTCTGTTACAGACTTATCCCAACTCCATTGCTCACTTCACACAGTGGTGAACAAACAACTTCTTACAGCTGAACATTGACAAGATAAAGGAAGTGGTTGACCATTTCAAATACCTCGGACTCGATATTGACAATGACTGATTAACACATCACTTCTATCTGTAAACGATCACAGCAAAGACTCCATATCATTGAATCCCCCCCACCTCCTGTTGCTACTCTAGTAAAGCATCGTCCAGCCCATCCTGCTGTACTGTTCCACCAGTTTCTACAAGGTACTCTCTGTTACCAACAAAAACAAACTCACCGACATCACACACACACTGCCTCTAAAATCATCAGCCTTCCCACATCCAAAATCACAGATCTGAACGACAGAGACATCCCACGCCCAGCACTCACCATAGCAGACGACACAGACCACCCCCTTAGTCATTACTTCACATTACTGCCATCCAGACGGTGTTACAGAACACTTAAATGGAGAGGGGCCAGATTCAGTAGGAGCTTCGTACCCTCTGCACTTGCAGCACTAAACAAATGTTTGATGGGTTGCCTCTGCCGAAATGTGTCCTTTGTGTTGAGTGTACTGAAATGACTGAAAACAAATGTTTTCTTGTGTCTGCAATGCTGCAGAGAGGCCCACATAGCATCTATTAAATTGTTGAAATTGAATATACATTTTCTTCTCTCATTGCTCAGCCTTATGTTGCACTAAAAGTGTTGATAACCAACAGTGTATCTTGGCAGGAGCAGGCAGAGAGGTTAGTGAGGCAAAGGAGGGAAGCAGGGTGACAAGGCAGCCATTATGAGCCTGTTAGAGCTGCCAGCCAATCAGAGACAGAGTTGTGTGTGTGCGTGAGCGCATGCCTTTGCATGTGCGTGTGTGCGCACGTGTGTGGCTGTGGGTAAGTGCTTACTTGTGTTAGGGGGATGGATTTGAGTCAGGTTGATGAAGGCTTGGGATTGGATGTGCACACTGCTTTCCCTCTCTGATACGAGATCCAGATAACAGGTAAACAGAGGGGTCGGTGCTATGGTGAGGACTTCCTGTCTGTCTGCTTAGGACAGTAAAAACTTTGTGGGCTTTTTGACGATCCACTGATATGGTGGGATTTGTCCTGGTACTTCCGATGGCCAGAGACAGAGAAAATGACAACAGGGCAAAGCTCTCAAAGTTACTTAATGTTGTAAAAGTTTTCAGGACTTAGTTGCTTCAAATTAGACTTTGTATTTTTTATTGTAATTATGTAAAAAAAAATTGGGATGTCTGGGGATTCTACTTCAAAACTTTAAGAATGTAAAGGATTGAAGAAAGGCTCTAATATTAAAGCTTAAATTATTTTGTTGATTAGTTGGTTTAATGAAAGCACTATTTTGCTAATGCTTAGCCCACTGCTAATGCTTTCAGATGTGTTCTTGTAGTGTTTATTACACTCTGGGAGTCAGCCTTATCAGCAGCAGCCACTGTGGCAAAACAAACAAAAGACCAGACTATGTGACAACTCAAAATTCCACCAAGACAAAATCTGAGGGGAAAAAACGACCTTGTCCAATCACTCAGATTACAAGTTTTCTAAAAATAGAAAGCTGCAGCCATTGAGCCAAAAGTAGAGTAAACATCTACAAAGTGTCCTGAAGATTAAAAGTGTGGGAATCTGAGGAAGGACGTAGGAGTGTCAGAGGCTATTTTTCTCATTGACTGAGGTTTATAATGTTTATCTGCTGTTCCTTAAAATTGCTGATTTATATGATTCCTATGATTCCTATACCACAGATCCATGCAGATAATGATTTGTCCCATATTTCTGCAGTTTATAATCCCAATTCCTCTTAATCAGTAAGGAAGTGCTACCTGTCATACATGTGGCGGAGCTGCAGCCTTCACTTCAATAAAATAAACACAAAAGTGAGTAAGTTGTCCATATCTCACTTCCAGTCATGCTATCATGATACAGGATGACAGTCACCACAACAATGATTTAACTACCTGCCAGTCCATATGGCTTCATGATTACTCCCCCTGGGTTGTTGGTAAAAAGTCAGTGTTGTCATGAGAAGAAGCAACAACTGCACAGCAGCAATAGAAAGTCTTTAAGGAGGTGTTTTGGGACATGAACTCTAAAACTAAAATTGAGCACTGACAATCTCCAGAGTTTGCCTTTAAAACGAGAATGTTTTTTGTTAGACGTATTCACAACAAGTTTCAGAAACTGTCTTGAGCATCTGACTCTGCTCAAAGTGACCTTCTTCTTTCTAGTACCTATACTGAGTGAAATTAACTGAGTGGTGTGATGTTAAATTCGCAGTCTTCAGGTTGACAGTTTTCATTCTGAAGTTTTGTGGACCTGATAAATCCTTGTACCCTGCAACTATATCTTTAACTACACTTTTGCAGTACAAGTGAAATATAACACCCAGGACTTGTGGGTGAATAAAAGTCACACATTTCTTCAGTTTGCTTTGAAAATATAAAAAAAGCAACTCTAACCTGGCAGTTAATGGTAGCCTAATAATAACTTAATAACTAAAAGCCTCTATTCACAAAGACATGGCTACTCATATTAAGGTTATCATAAGTAAGTCACATTATTAACCTTTCGGATTGACTTTTCCTGTTACTTTCAATTGTGTGACTTGCTTTGAATAGAGAGGGTGGGGCTTTTCACTAGAGAATACAGCCCAAGAAACACCGACTGAAACCTTTAGAAAAACTGGAGGAGGTAAAGGGCAGAGGAGAACCGAGGAAAGCTCTGAGATACACCGAAGATTGGAAGGAGAAGAGATAAGGAGAGAAGAGTGAAAGGAAGAGGGATGGGAGAGAGTGAAAGGGAGGAGTTGAGATATAAATAGCTTGTTATAGTCTCTGTTTGAACGTCTGCCAGAACCGTCTGTTGTGTCTTTCTTCCTGTGTTACATACAGGGGCACCTCCCCCCTTTCAGTAGTTACCTCACCTAACTGTACACATGGAGATTTTTCTCTCATACTGACATATCTGAACTTACAAATAGAAACTAAATCATCATTTTTACATTTTATTTTATTTAACCATGCATCTGTATTTGTGTTTGTCAATTCTGCAATCGTCTCTTGGTTATTTAAAAATGGACCACATGACTGCTAACCCTAATCCAAGTGGAAAGGGTTTCAATCGTCACCTGACTGCATTATAGGTCATAAACCTACCTCCTCCATGTTATTTCATGGAACATGAACCAAACTAAAATATCAAAGTGCAAGAATTTTGACTCGTAAGAAGGTGTCCATCATTTTATATAGTTCTTATCACTCAAATCTTTTTTCAAGTGTACATTTTTTCCGGTAAGATTGTGCGAGGTGAAACTTGATCATGATTGGTCAGGTGCATGCAGAGGTGGACCGTCGCAAACCAAACTCAATCCCTCCAATGTGGATAATGGGAGGAGGCGTAGAGTTGTGGTAAATATTTACAGTGCACACAATGCAATTAGCACATCCAACTCTGATTTTGTGTGTTAAGGTAATTTGTCTATGGTGTACCTGCAACAGGCATCACTGACATGTGACAGACAAGATGGTTGTACAAAACTGGCTTGTTCATTTAATTCCTCACTTTCACATGCATGTTTCTTCAAAGTGTCACTTATATCACCATGGCTTTCTTCTTCAGAAACCCACAACTCCTTGTTTCTTCATTGCAGCCTGCTCTCTTAATCACTTTTACTTGACATCTTAATTGTTCCTCGCTGGGTTTTGTAAAGTTGCCACAGTTTCTTTCAGGTGTTAGAAATACCTCTAAAGGTGAAGAATGAATGGTTTCACTGTTTTTAGAGGGTTAATGTCCAACAGCTAAGTTTCCACTTGCCTTTAAAGATGCATTTCATGGATTTCATCACATCATGACTGTTTTCTGCTTTTTTTCCTTTTCCTTATTTTTTTTGTTTTTCTAGGTGATTTTGCTCATCATCTCCCACCACTTCCTCCTCCCGTCTTCCATTCATGAGCAGCGTGGCTGAATTTAACAGCGGCAGCCATGGATGACAAAGTCTCGGTGGGGAAGATTAGCGTCTCCTCGGACTCAGTGTCCACTCTCAACAGTGAGGACTTTGTCCTTGTGTCCCGCCTGGGGGACGAGACACCCTCCTCCACTAATAATGGTAGTGATGACGAAAAGACAGGACTGAAGGTAAGGATGGTTGGGTGTAGGTATGGACAGACGTACAAGGGAGAGAAGGGTGACTTCAGAGCTGTACTTGTCTAGTTAGAGTAAGTGATAAGTACATTCTTTTGACATTTGCTTCGTTCAATATCAGGAGGATGCTAAATACTCAATCAAAATCTGTTCTTGATATTAAAGAAATGACAGAAATTGTAAATTTATGAAAAAAAAAAAATCCAGTCGAAAAAAAAGTCAGGCCATGATTTGGCAGAACTTCCTTGATGCTAATTTTATCTTAACTTGAGCCAGACAGATATATTGCTTTGCTGATAAGCTGACCTAAGCCTTAATTAAATGTATTAGTATCAGTGTTTATATTTGCTAAGGGTGTTCCGATCAGGATTTTTGGGCTGATTGCCCATGGCAATAGTTAGAAGTAGTATCGGCGGATACCGATCACGTGGTCTATGACCCTGTTTACATTCATCTTGGGTGATCCAAGTGACCACTTATAATCGGATTTCTCTTCCCTGCTCTATATGCAATTAAACACTACAGGGCTCAGTCCAACTTAGAATCTTGTGAGTAAATGTCTGCTTATACTTTCAAGTTGTTCCTTAGTTCCCATTCAGTGCCATGATAAACCCCTGTATCAGCCTGTGCTCATCTGTGCTGTCAGCAGCTGCAGGATTGACGCTGTGCACAATTTTGAACAATATGAACATGACTTTAACTTTCTCTGCCTGTGTGGAAATCACAGATAGATGACGCAGAAAGGCATTAATAGAGAAACAAGAGAAAGATTGCAGATCAAAATAATTAGAGGGTATATCGGCCGATACTGATCAGTAGCCGATCAATCGGAACACCCTTAATATTTGCTGATATAGGCCCACTTGTTTACGATTATGTAAAAAATATTTATATGTATTTAGTTCAATATATTTGGTTTTATTTGTGTTGTTTTAATGTTTAAACTTAAAAATATCATAATAGGCCTCAATTTTCACATCTTAAAAATCATTGCCAAATTTTTATATTGGCCGATAAATTGGAAAACATTTGTTACATCTCATTTTCAACATCAACACTCAGAGTCCATTTTGCCCAGGTCTAATTTTGACCTCTGTCAGTGTAACATGTTTAAAAGGCATGTTAGGGGTCAGAGGTTATACAGATTACTTTGTCAACAGTTGTTCATCTCTCACCTGTCTAAAACTCTCTTCCATCTTTTTTAACCATGCAGTCTCACACTCTAACAATAAGGCTAACCATTTCTTCTTTTGCCTTTTCAACATCCTCACTTCTCCTTTGTGTCATAGTTGATTTGTGTGTTTTATCTGTGTGTACTTTTACATTTGCTACTTACAGCAGGGAAGTTGTCAAATATGTGCACCTCCTTAAAACACGAGCATCTTTATTGGCTTTGTTTGTTGTGCAGGACTTGTTCTTGTCGCTTAAACCTGTTTGAGGTTTTTCACTCATTGGCATTATTATTTGTTTAGTCATGGTTTTTCCTGGCCACAAATTAGGTGGGAGTGGTACTGAGCAGGCAGACGGGGTTGGGGGCGGGGTGTATGAGGCTCGGGGCAGTCACCCAGGGAGCCATGCACACCTCCGCCAAGCCACTTTTCATACATGCTTGGACGTAAAGATGCAATTTTTTACAGTTTTTACCAGCATTTATTGCTCCTCTCTGTGTCTCGGCCGCCTCGCAATTCTCTATGCAATTCTCTATTTTGTGTGGTATTGGAAAATGAAAGGGATTATCATCACATTGTCACTCAAGTAAAACAACAGAAGAATCACGTGTGAATTTATTTTGTGTCAGCTGATATTTTAAGAATTTGTCTTTCAGTCGTTTTATGCGACTGATCTTTAGGCGAACATCCCCCATCTGCAGTCAATCAGCTGCACTTGTTAGTATACAGCCTATGCTATCCCGCCGCAGCATGTCTGATATACTGTATGCCCTCTGTGAGTCAGTTCAGTGCTGCACTCAGCAGATATTAGTTTACCAACAGTGGCAATGCAGCTGCAAGTGCTTTGAACTCACTGTCAGGAAAAATAATGGTGTTTTGTGACCAGGGTGTGTCTGTCTGCAAAGAGAAACACGACTTTGAAGGAAATGTAGCTACGAGGCACCATCCTGTGAGCGTCCCTCATGGATTCAGGTTACCTCTCCTCCTCCTCTCCTCTGCAAACACATTTTGTCCATGACACCTACAGTTTACTAGTTATCACCTTTCCTTTTATTGAATTTATTGTGAATCACTGGCTCATATGTTCACACTCTGTCCATAAGTTTATATTATTACTTCACCTCACTTTCTTTGAATTTGAAAGGAAGTATTGGCTTGGTGTTGGAAAGGGACCAAAAGATGGTGCCTGCAGAGCAAGGATGTTGCATATTCAGAAAGAAGTCACACTTAAGAGAGAGTGATTTGAGAGTTTGAGTTTGCATATTGCATGAGTGTGGCCTCTTAATGAACTGCAGTTATTTTGATTGAAAACACAGTTGAGGTCAGTGGTGTGCTGCCTAGTTGCCACGCTCTGCCTGTTGTCTCAGTGAAGAAACGCTGTCCTCGAAATACATCCACTGTCCTCTGGTGAAATCACTACATTCACTGACTCTCAAGTCATCCAGATATCATGTTTTGGTTTTTGCAAACACACTCTTGTGCACATCCCCCCTCCCATCCAGTCAGAGAAGAGTCAGTGTGTCTAAACTTGTTGTTTGTTATGCAGGTGATTTCTGAGGAAGGGGTCAGCTTTAAGGTCAGTCTCTTCTCTCTCTATCTTTCCTCTCCACCTCTTCTCTCTGTATCTCTTGCTTGTTTTGTATCTTTATTCCTCTCTTTATTGATGTCATTCCGTGGTGATTTCTGTCTGTGATTATTTGTGCTTTTCATATATTGGCCAGCTGTTGAGTGATGGCACTAGCCAGCTGCATCAACACATTAGTGGATGGTAGTGGTAGATGCTCCTACACCCACCAAGGCTTTTAGCAGTACCTTTAAATCCCAAGTCTTAGCATAGTTGCATAGTGACGCAGTTAGATGTGTGTATTTTGGATGTGTGAACCTAAATATAGAATGATAGTTCCTTAAAATAATTTTCTTCAACATGTAATATGTTTTCTTCCTATGCACAAGGAATATCCACATATACACAGTAGTTGTTCTAACAGCAGAAACTACCACATATGTCGAAGTCACATTTATTTATCGTGGTGTGTACATGGAGAGCCAGAATATTCAACCATTAGTTATACCATAGGAAGTAAAAAAATCACATTCCCTATTCTTAGTTGCCTCCTCCTCCCTTTTTTGCTCTGTACAGTGGCGCCCTCTGCAGTTTAAGTCTGCTCCTCACTAGTAATGTGCATCCACAGCCGGCAGGAAAACTGAGCATTCCCTCTTTTTGTGGTGCTTCATAGTTTGTCCAGCTTTTGTCTTGCTTTTTTGTTCACTATTTGGTAGCAGAGGCGGATTTACACATTTACCCACTAATCACTAATATGATTAAACAAAATGTAATCAAGCTATATCTCTGACTGCCAACATAAAACAAGGCATCTTTCCTCTTTACACCTTCACCACACTCACTTGAAATGAATCACAAGATCACTGCTGAAAGCAAAAGCACTGCACAGTCCTAAAAACCACAGAGTGGGCCTCTGGTTTATCTGGAATTTGATTTGTTATGATGATTTCAATGATGATTTTGTGCATCAGCATCTTTTCTTGTGTTTTATATGTGTTTGGGTTTAAATGTGTTGTTCTCTGTGCCCTCTTCTGTCCCTGCTCCTTGGTGTGGTTGCGTGCATGTGTCTTTGTATGCGTGTTTCTGCTACTCTGTGTGTGTCAATCAGATTGTGGGGAATGGAAGTGAACAGCAGCTCCAGAGAGAGTTAGAGGATGTCCTAATGGACCCATCGGTAGCTGACACTGGGCACGGACCGGGAACAGGAATGGAGAGCTTTGGTGCAGGGGGCCGTGGCCCTCTCCCCACGACAGCGTCACCTGTAGCGCCAGGCTCTGACCCCCTGAGTTCATCCCCGCCCAAGTTGGAGATAGTGCTGCCTGTTCAAACGGCACAGGAGAGTGAGCTGAATGAGAGGTCGTATCGCGGTGAGCAATCCTGCTTTTATAGATTCTATTTTCACTTTTCATGTCTTTTGAAGTTCACACAATGGCTCTTATAAATTTTAGGACATTAAGTGTAGTATCATAAAAGCACTCAGGTTTTCAAATTATATTATTATTCACATTGATCACCCTCATTGCTTTTTTTTTATCTATATCTCAGAGGACTGTTGGTGTTTCTTCTCATCATCTTCTCCATTGTATTCATTTGTTGCATAAATATCTCTAATTGATATCACTGTTGTCCTCCTCACCTATCCTCTTAAATTCCATATTTTTTTCTTGCCTCCCAGTAATGAGGACAATATTGTTTTTTCATTAATTCCCTTTCTTTTCTTTCCATCTTTCCATTGCCACTTTGCAGGGGACGAATCATCATCCGATGGCAGCCCCAGCAGTCCCATTCCAGATGAGGACAGCGTTGTGTTCAGCCAGCTGACATATCTGGGTTGCGCATCTGTTAACGCCCCTCGCAGTGAGGTGGAGGCCCTTCGTATGATGAGTATTCTCAGAGGGCAGTGCCAGGTCCCACTGGACGTCACACTATCTGTGCCAGGCGTGTCTGAAGGCACTGTCAGGTAAGAACATGTGCAGAACTAGTTAAAAAAGAACAGTTCCAGCTGATGGACTGAAATCCTCACATCAGTACATGTAACAAGAATAGCTTCAGTTGTGTTGGTGACTTTTATGAACGTATTTATTGATATTTAACAGGTTGCTAGACCCAAACAACAGTACAGAGATTGCCAACTACCCTATCTACAAGATTCTGTTCTGTGTGCGTGGTCATGATGGTACTCCAGAGAGTGACTGCTTCGCCTTCACCGAGAGCCACTACAATGCTGAGATCTTCAGGATCCATGTGTTCCGCTGTCAAATCCAAGAGGCGGTGAGGATTTATCGATTTATTAATGTGTTACTGTGTTTACTGGAGTCACGTTTAACACACACATACAAAAAAACAGGTAGAAGTAATGTTGCTGCTGTTCTGATAGCAAACCAGAGGGGGAGCAAACCTCCTCTGCTGCACTCTTATCCACTCACGTACATACACATGTGTTCACACTCATATGACCGACGACCAGTATTCTGCTTGACCTTGCCTTCTGTAGCTGATCTCCCCTGTAGTGTGTCCCTTAGGCTCCAGTGTCAGTGCGGGAGGTTTCTCAGTGGTCCCCAAGTGATTATGTCATGCACTGCAGGTTATGCTGAAATGCACATGTGCACCACACACAATCCCCCCAAGCCAATCTATAGGAGAGTCATCGCTTATTTTACACGTCTGTTCACCAGACGTGTAAAAGAAGAGAAAAGTGAATCCACTCATGAATCTGGGCTAAAGCTTCAATGTTCAGTGACCTGATTTCTCCTTCATGGAACCTTCAGACAGACACTACTTTATCAGTCCCTTGTCGTGCAACTATCCACTTTCCCAGACCTTCACCAGTGACAATCGTGCTCACACTTATGCATATTCACACACACACATCCCCAGCTCTTTATCAACAAATCAGACATCTCTGTCTGCAGCTCTTGCTTCCTTCTCATCTTCCTATTTCCTTGTTCCTTCCTTCAGTCCTCCAGCAACAAACCAGTTTACACTATCGCTACTTTTTTATCTCTCATTTGCACTGTTAAAAAGGAGTGAGTCAGCCCATCGGTTGTCTTTTCCTTCACAACACCCCATTATTCTAAAATTTCTCGAAATTCGGTAAGCAAAATTATTAGAGGGAAACGTATTTCCTTTTGTTATTCAAATTATAATTTTAAGTCCTGTACATATTTTCAGAACTTATGTTATGAATGTTATTTTTTAAATTTGGTGTTATTTCTTTTTTTAAAATAGACTTTGAATAGAAATGTCCACAAGCAAACCACCTCCCCAGTCCTGCTCTCCCTCTGTAGTGCCAGACCTCCTAGTCTGGCCTCAAGGCCAGTTTGTAACAGTTCCAAGTCTCCTGGTGTTGATAGTAACATTGAGCCCTGCTGAGTCTCATACCCAACACCTCCTTTTATTCCTCCTGTCCAGAGATCCAAATTTAGTGCTGTGTGATTTTAATTATTACAGCTTTAATAGATTTGTTTCACCAAAGCAATTTAGCTCCTAAAACAAATTAAATCACATGTTTGGAAAGATAAACAAAAAATGTCGGCACTGACAAATTGGTGCAGATCGCTGCTCGGGACATCAGTTAAAAAATGTCTCATAGATGAAGATTTGGCTGCTGTGGAAAATATAATAACTGTAAATTAATTGCGATCGAGGTAAAGGTTCGAAATAATTGCGATATTGTTTTGATGTCATATCACCCTAGCCAATGCCATGTCAATGTGGCTTGAGTGGTGTTAAAGGCATCGGAAGAGGCATGGCTTTTACAACACATACATTAATGTTTACTCAGTCCCCTCTCTCTCTCTCTTTCCAGTTTACAAATACATTGACAGCAAATCTGTCTTTCATAGTTGGAGTGGCCATTGTGAGCATTTTAAGAAATCTGTATTGACAGCCAAAGCATCTATGACTTTTTTTACTCTCCTCGGTACACAGGCTGAAATCTGTACTGTACAGATACACCACTGCCTCGCACACAATGAGTAAAAAGAGCCATTTGTAGACATTCTAAAGTTCTCATCTTTGGCTGCAGCATTAATTGTAATAGACAGAACAATAATACCTTTGTTTAAGATGTCACAATTTCTTCAATACAGGGGGTGACCCCCATCTAACTCTGCTCATCCCCCAACTCTTGCATCCAATCCCAGTTGTTTCTGAATAAATAAACCCCCTGCAATCCCCTGACAACCTTCTGCTACAAGAACATAACAAAGGCTTTGTGCAGGAAAGGTTGGAGGCTGCTTTATAAAAGAGCGTTGTTATTTATTGATAACAGCAGTTTCCCCACACCATCTCGTAGTCACTAACCCCAGGGCTCAACTGTTAACCAGAATTAGAGCTGATCCAAAACCACTGTGCTATGAGCCTCTATATGCGGGAGAGCTCTGTTTATTAACTCACACATGTTGCTTTTGTAATTATCAAACATAAAATATGACATTTTCTTGGCAAAGCTTAAGTATTGTGTGTGTGGAAAATTGTGTTTAGTGAATGTAAATAAAGTTTTCCACACTTGGCCATCTGTAGCTGCCCCCCCACCAACACTGCTCCTCTTTGAGGTGGGAGATTTAGCAGAACCCTGCAGTCTCTGGTAATGGTTAGTTGATAATATATTGATAGTAACTGTACCTTCATGCTCAGCTTAACAGACAAATATCAATCCTTATCGTAATCAAAACTCAAGATCGTTAATAGTTTGAGATACCACAGTCAGTAGAGTAGTGGGTCATTAGGTAACATTTCTTGCTGCGGTGTGATTGAGTTTTTAATCAATCCTAATGACTCACTAATTGCTTTGCCAGTTGCCGATATTTTTGGCTTACAAAACTCAACTTTAGGTTCCACAAGACATTTCAGCTGCGTGTGCTGCTAAACCCTGTGCCAAAGCACAAAACCATCACGATGATTAAATGTCCTTATCCGAGAATAACGAATAATAATTAACCCTGATGCATAATAAATAATGTTGTCATTTCATGGGCTATTTGGAGTATTTTATGGTGCAAATGCAATAACAACAATAATAGATCAGCCTTAGTAAATAGTATATTTGTGTTATTAGTCTTCCCTTTGACACAGTGGACCACAACATTACTAAACCAACTGAAAAATCGGACTGTTTGACATACCACTAAATCTATTTTCAAACTGCTTAAAGGACTGGAAAGACTTTGTTTAGGTTATTACACATCTCAGCAGACAAACATGGCTCTAACTTGGAAGATATTTTGTTCAACCTCTACATGCTCCCACTAGCTCAGAGTATGGAAAACAAAACAAAATATGCCACCACAATTTTACAGATGAAACATGTTTACATGACTCAGTCACAAAGGGGACTGTAATCACATTCAAGCTCTGTACAAGTGCATTGAACAAGTTCACATTTGCTTTTACTTAAGTTATTGGCTTTGGAGACAAGAAAGAATGGCTAAAAGTCAGTATTAGGCTATAATCGCTGAAGTTAATAACCACTCCCAATCATAGTGCTTGTGGAATTTTAACAGTCACATTAAGACAATTACAAACAACAACATATCTGGGATTAAAGAATTTAAATGTCAGCAGGATTTGAAAAGTCTTGACCATGCGTTTTATCTTTAGTTGACCTGACTGCTGTAATTGTGTGTTTACAGGTCTTTGTTAAAATAAAAAAATCAGTTCAACAAAAACAGCTGATTCAGAACTGCAGCTGCTCGAGTCCTCACTAAGAAAGTGGATCATATCCTTCCAGTTCTAGATGTTTACACTGGCTTCCTGTCTGTCAAAGCACTGACTTCAAAGTACAGCTATTGGTTTATAAAGCACCGAATGGTTTCAGGCCAAAATACATTTCGGATCTGCTGCTACCTTATGAAACATCCAGACCCCTCAGGTTGTCTGGTGCAGGTCTGCTTTCTGTCTCCAGACTCTAAACATGGAGAGGCAGCGTTGAGTTTTCATGCTCCGTATATCTGGAACAAACTGCCAGAGAACTGCAGGTCTGCTGCAACTCTTAGTTCTTTCAAATCAAGGCTGACTTGTGTTTGCCACGGCCTTTTATTGAATCAAAGGATTGTTAATCCTTTTAATGCACTGTAAATTTTACTCTTGTATGTCGTTAGTATTTTTTATTCAACTCGTATTCTGCATTAATATTTTGTTTCTATCTCTTAAACACTCTTTGTATTGCCTTGTTGTGAAAATGTTCAACATAAATAAACTGGCCTTGTCTCGCCTCCACATCACAGTGGCTTAACTTTGTGTTCATTATAAAATACCATTGTTTGTGTTCACTTCTCTCTCTCTCTGCAGGTCAGTAGGATATTGTACAGCTTTGCCACAGCGTTTCGGCGGTCAGCGAAGAAGGCTACTATGTCATCTCAGCTGGCCGCTCCACTCACCCCTGACAGTGACTTGTTTACCTTCACCGTCAGCCTGGAGATCAGGGAGGACGATGGGAAGGGTACCTTCAGGTGGGAAAAATATTTATACATAAAATATTTTTTGTAGAGCATGGCAACATCTCTTATGATGCCTCAACAGCTGCTTCTGAGTAACACCTGCATCTCAAATTAAATAGAAAATAGATTTCTGAGAACTTATTATATTTGGTGAATGCGAAATGACCAAAACATGATACTTTCATACACATGCACTCGACTTCCACTGCTTCATATCTTGTAGCCAGAGATAATATCTTTTTCAGCTAACAACCAACAGCTCAAAACATTACGCTGTCTTTTTTTCAGTCAATTTCAAGCTTGGTGGACACCTTAAGATTTTCAAATTTACTTTTTTATAACCAATATATCAAATAAAGTGGACCTCAGAAATAACTACAAATGTAGACCATTTTAATCGTAAGAATGACCAAAAGAATTGACTTAAGAGTTCTAGCATGTCCAGGGATCTCACAGAATCTTGTGTGATGTAATTTTATTAAAACAAACATGGATCTGGACTGTCATCATCAGTTAGTTTTTCTCTGTGTGTGTTTTATTGTAAAATGAACAAAAACAGAATCACCAAGACAGGATCAGCAGGGCTCATACATTTTGTAGAGCGAGCTGCAGTTTTGGTCGAAAGTTTATTGGTAGTTTGCAACATCCAGTTGTTGCGGTGTTGCTTCCCTGGCATAATATTTAAAGAGCTTTAAAGCAAATGTCTCCCTAGTGACCAGTGTTTCCCACCAAATCAACACAGGACAAAGCTGCTCCACTTTTACTGTTGTGCAAAGTAAACAGATTTTTGGGTGACCCAGTTACTAAAGTCACAAGCCTTTCTGAGGTTGATAGCATGTGGAATAAATGTTGCCCATGAGGTACAAATCATTTAAGCATCATCAAAAGAACATGCCAGGAAACGAAATGTGAACATTA